CCAGACCAAAAGAAATAACTAACAGTTCCTTTTATGAAGTAGTCAGATCCAAACAACTTTATAAGTATTTATGACCTGATGCTGTAAAAGCAGTGAAAAAACTAATGCATATCAACGTGGGGGAAACATTTTTATTCCATCCTTTAACAGCCACATGTGTGAATCCTTTGGGGACTTTATAGCTTCCCCAACTTTGGAAACCGGACCCTGCCACCCTCATTTCCATTTCTGCACTGCGTTTTGGATGATAACTTGTATGTATCACAGCGACCAACAAGTACCCTTTCCCTCCCCTTCACAAAGACGTGACGGCATTGGAAGGCTGGTAGCGTGACGTAGCTTTGAAACGGAGCTGTCTGGAGCGAAAGGTCTGACAGAGTGGCACCCGTATCACTTTCTTCGCGTTGGAAACTCAAAATGTACTGCAATGCCCAGTTTGCTTGCTTCTTGGCCCTGGGGCTCCTCAGTGCAGGGTTTGGGAACCACAGTCTTGACTGACGTTCCCACTGTCCACGGTACTTGGGCTGGTATGACGCCTAGCAGTCAAGCACAGGGCATGGGCATGTATTTGTGTCTCGCTAATCATCTCTCCATCAGCCAGTTTTCAGTGTCCGCTCAGTGCCAGGTGCTGTGTGTGGACGTGGCTGGGGGGTGCGGGCGCTGGGCAGGACTAACAGTGAACTCCTTCCGAGGAGTTACGAGCTGCTGGAGGAATTACAAAATAGGGGCGCTTCGGGCAGGGCCAGCAAACCAGGTAGGGTCATGCAGCCCTTGTGGAAGCTACTCAAGCCTAAGACTGTCGTAGGAAAGCAGCCACCAGCAGCGCTTAACAGTGGGTCTGACTCTGTCATAGTAAAACGGTGTACAGAAGCGCAGGAGGAATTTGTCTCCTGGGTGCGAGCTTGTGCAGCCCCCGCACAAGGGGTGTGATTGAAGGACCCTGGAGGCAGAGGGAGCGCGGAAAGGGCTGCACAGGCGGCGGGGGGCTAGCCCTCCCCTCCTGCCTGGAGGCTCCCGGTGAACGGCGGAGGGTGGAAGGCAGCAGGAGAGAGGGCATTCCCGTCGGAAGAAAATAGATGTGCAACCGTGGAGTCGGGAAGGCATCTGGCAGCGTGGAGAGCAGTATCTGTTTTAATGTGACCTGGCATAAGATTTGGGAGGGGGTGACCCACAGAGCTTCTTCCTTGGGTTAAAAGTCCAGTTCCGTGGATCATTTTTCTCATTTTTTTGTTTTCTACCGCATTGCGGGGGTGCATCACAGCCTCTAGTAGCTTCCAGAGAACGCGCGCGTGGCCGGTTGCTGCCACCTTCAGAGACTCAGGTTGTTGCCTGTGTAGCTCCGTACCTGTCCCGCCCTCCAAGCGTTGGCACTGTCATTCTGCCCATGGGACAACAGACAGCTCTCCTCATTGTGTAGCTCAGCTCCTGAAATTCTGTAAAAGTGTGTTCTCTGAGAATAAGGCATCGCGAGACGGGGGCGGGGAGGGGGGAGCAAACTCTGACAATGTTGTGAATCAGAAGGGAGCAGAGAGGTAAGTTTCATGTGTTTCTTTGTGTGTTTTTCTGGAAATGTGTTGGCTCTGTTCATGCACTGCTTTGGCCTCTGATAAGTCCATTTGAAAGTTTTGCCGGGCAGAGAAACCACATCTATAGGAGCACAGTATTATGTTACCTAAATGACTTGCTCAACATTTTCTCTGTAAATGTTAGGACAAAGAAAGCCTTTTTTTATCATGCTGCCCGTTTTCCGTTAAGCAGGCATTGGCGACTCTGCCTTTGATTCCGCACTGCCTGCCACTCGCTGACCTCCTCAGGGGCGTCCCTCATGAGTGGCTCTTGCTGGCACCGGCCTGTCTGCTTGCCTGTTGCCGGCCAGCAGGAGTGGGCTATTGCAGCTTATCTTTGGGAAGCTTCCCACAGGGCACCCCTCCCCACCCCCGCACTGCTGGAGGCTGAGGCCAGAGGCTTACGTACTGGTTGCCCCCAGTCCCGCTGGAGTCAGTCGCCAAGCCAGGCTGCACAGTGCGAGTCCGCAGCGCCCCGCCCAGAGCTGGGCCTCGGCCGCCTCCCCCACCCCCACCCCCTACTTCATGGGACGCACTTCCCTTTCCTAGAACAACTGTCAACTTGTAGTGAGGGACTGTTCCACTTCAAGATAATGGTTAGCCAGCCAGTGAATATGGTTTGTGATTATTTTTGTCTCCTTTAATCAGTTACTCCGTTATACGCTATGTAATTTTATAACATTAGCCACTGGCATTTTAGATATTCCATGAGTACATTTTTACTATGATAAGTAACTCAGTGACGCTGGAATTGACTAGAAAGTTGCTCATCCAGAAAATAATCGAACACTGGAAAAATGTGTGCTCAGGCATTGTGTATGTTTTGGTTATAATTATTTAAGCTGTTTGGGATTCATGTCCTTAGTTTTTCACAGTACTCAGCAGGAGCCAAGAAAAGTCTTGCCATTTCCTCTCTCTGAGGAGAACATTTTTTGAATTCTCTTATTAGTCTCCAGTTATTTAGATGTTGGATTTCCTTTCTTTTATCAAATCCTTGTTTCTCATATCTTCTGTGACATTTTCTATTTTTGTCTTTTGGTTTTTTTTTTCCCTGAAAGATTGCTCAATGTTTTTATCTGTCTTTGAAAAACATTTACTATCAAGCAATGTGTTTAACTTGTAAGAGCTAATTTTATTTCAGATTATTCCTTTTTCCCCTCTGTTTATGTGGCTGTGCTGTTTGCTGTGAGAATGCTGTTTATAGGTGGTTGTCTGTTTGTTGTCTTTTTCCTTTTAGTTCTCCTGTTTTCCACATTATCCCCATTTCCCCGGGGAGTAATTTTTATTTTCCTTTTGGTTATCCAGCTTACACGGAATATCTCATGAATGCAGGAGGCATTGTGTGTGCAGGTGGGCAGGAGCAGGTTTATAGTTGTGAGTTTGTGAAACAACTCACAACTATTCTTGTGTCGTTATTTATTCATTAACTATTGTATTTATTTGTATTGTTTGTCCTTTTCTGTAAACTGCGTGCCCACCGCTGCACATTCTGTGACCCTTGGTTGCCTGTTCCCACATAAAAATGGGCCAGCGTTGAGTCCGACCAGGAGCGTTCAGCATGTTGAAGGACCTGTCGGCTGGCCAGCGTCCTTCGACAAGAGCTGGCAGGAACAGCTGCCCCGAGGCCTCCCTCAGTGCCAGGGGTGCTCGGCCTTCCCCGGCACCTGGCACGCCGGTTTCCTCGACTGTTCCTTGTGTCCGTAGGGATAACGCCGTTGTGGAGCGGGGAGGAGGAGCATAGCAAAGCTGACTTGTGTAAACAGACCTTCAAGTCCTTTAGTTTCAGCTCATAAGTCACTGCCTCCTCCTTCGTGCACCCCGAGAGGGTTAAATGGCACGCCCCCTGCCACTGCTGCCCTCACACCAAATCTCTTGGCTGTCCTTGCTTCTCAGGGGTCTGCCTGCACCGCTGACCGTACGCAGAGTACCCTTACAGCACTCCCCGTGTGCTTGGTGCTCTTCCGAGTGCTTTCCGCGTATTTCCTCCTTTTGTCTCCACGATGAACTTACGTATCATCCCCACTTTACAGACAAGAAAACCACGGCACAGAGAGGTCAAGATCATACAATAGGTGGCAGAGCTGGGGTTCAGACCCCATCTCTGTGTTAACCAGCCCACTGTCCTGCCTGTAGCGTGTCAGTAAGACCCTTCCTTGCTGGAGCAGAGCCTGAGTCTCATCACTTCATGCCGCCTCCGCCCTTAGAACCAAGCCCCTCATCTCCGCTGTTCTCCTCTGGACGCCGGCTCCCCTGCATCTGCCCCCCAACCCCGCACCCGAGAGTCTGTCTGCGTAGCAGCCAGAGAAATCTTCCCCAAGTGCACGGCAGATGATGGGTCATCCCTGGTTAAAACACTCCGGCGGCTTCCCTTCTCCATCCCATACACTCCACATCCTCCCCTCGGCCCCGAGGCCCTCTGTGGGCTGACCAGCCCCCGTCTGGGATGCGTCTCCCTCCTCTGGGCCCGGCTTCCTGAGAAGACTGTCCTTGTCTTAGGGTCTTTGTACTCACTGCTGCTTTGTCCCCTCATCTCGTCACGGTCATCTCCTTGTCAGTCGGATCTCGGCCCAGGCGACAGCCTTCACACATAGGCACCCACACACAGACTTCTGGATTTCGAAGCTCGTGTCAGGATCTTAAATGTCTCGCTTGTTTAGGTCCGTGTCTCTCTGAACTCGAGTCTAAGGTCGTTGAGGGCAGGGACTTTGTCTGGGTGAGTGTCATGCCCCCAGCGCCTGCAGGGTGACCTGGCACTTGGTAGGTGGCCGCAGCCACTCCCTGCCACCCAGCAGGACAGCCACCGCTCCTCCGCAGGCCTCCGCGGCCACAGAAACACACAGAAGCTCCTGCCAGGGCCCCTTCCCCAGTGTAGTTGCTCTAACGTTAAACTTGAGTCGTTTGTGTGTCACTATCAAGATTTTTGTCACATCTGCAAACCCCCTACATTATTTATCCCAATTTTTTTTTGTCCTTTAAACTATTTAAATGTATATGAAGTAGAAATTTCATATCATGGTGTCAGTGGAAAACCGATATTGTCATAAACAAGTGGCTATCAAAGTTAGTATATACTAATTTAAAGTGTCGTTCCATGTATCACTTAAAGTTGTCTGTCAAAACCTCAGTTGTATGCACTGCTTTTCTGTACTTTAGTAGCATTAGAATGGAGAGTTGATAAACATGTCCAGGCATAATCTAGAACTTGAAGCCTATCATTTGAAAATTGACCCTATTATGGACCCCCTGAAGCAACAGCTGGGCCTGATTGCTCATGTCTCCCAGAGCCAAGTCAGCTGAAGGCTAGTGTCTCCAAGGTTATTCATGTACAGTATGTGTCAGTGGCCGTTCGTATCCGCTTTCAGCCTCAGTGTGCACAGCTCAACGCATGTGTTTGCAGAAGCTGGGACAGCGTTTGAAATTCTTCTCCTCATCCAGGGCTGACCACGCTGTACGATGATGGACATTGCCTTATGTTTAAGACGACCGTCGCAGATGGTGGCCAGTGAAAGAATGAGGATGATTTCAAATTTCCGGTGGTTCTTATCAACACTAATTCTTCTTTATTTAATGAATCAAGTAAATAGCCAAAGAAAGGGTAAGTGCATGGACTATGGTGCCATCCTGTGTCTTCACTGAAGCCTTCGGGACTTTGGTGGTTAAAATCCATTTCTTTGCAAGCTTATTTCTGTGTACTTTTGGTTTCTTTTAAAAAAGCCCTTAAAGATAGGTCTGTATTCTTTTCCCATTTAAGAAAACTAAGGTGTAATTTACATAAACTAAAGGTCACCCTTTTAGGATAAAGGTCTGTGAATTTTGACAAATGCATGCTGTCGTTCAACCACCAGCCCTGTGTAGATGCACCGCAGCCAGACCCCCCCGAAAGTCCCCCGTGGCCCTTCGCCGCCAGCCCCGCCCGCTGCCCTCCAGCCCGCGCCCGGCGGTCCTGTCTCTGCAGCGCCTTTCAGGGCGCCGCGTAGCCACAATCACATCTCTCGCTTTAGTGTTGTTTTCATCTTATTCAACTCTATTAAGAATGTTTACGTAGATGTTACCTGGCTTATTTCTATAAAACATTATTCTTCTGCCCCGGGTTTAGTTTTCACATTATTTCCATAGTTAAAGAGATCTTCTCGTTCCCCCAAGATCACCATTAAATAACTTTATTATAATTACCAATAATTTCTATTCCGAGTGCTTTCTAAGATTTTGTTTTCTTTTGTGCCAATAGCTTTATCATTTATCATGAAAGTAAATGTAGTGCCAACTCTGTAAAAATTAGAGAAAAAGACTTTTTAAGAGACATTTGTATAGAACAACGATTTTCAACCAGTGTGCTTGCAAGAATTTTTAAAACATGCAATTCCTGACTAGTCAGAAGTACTGACCTCTTTTCCCTTAGATTGCCAAATAAAGAAATGACACCAGCCAACACAACAGTAGCTGTCCACAGTGAATGAATCAAATTATACCTATTTTTTTGTCATATTGGCAAAAAACATAGTCTATTTTTTGGTGTGCTGCAGAAGTTTAGTAATTAGTTTATGTGTGCCATGAGATGAAAAAGGGAGATGAAATTTACTGATATAATCTGAGATTGGATGCCTCTTTTTCCATTTTGATTTTTTTTCCACTCCTTTCCCTTTTTTCTTTTATTCTCCCTCTTTCCCTCCTTGCGTACCCTCCTTCTTTCTCTATTTTCCTTTCCTTTGAGAATGACATTTCTTATTGTATAGTACTTACGCGTTCCATGACATAATGTTATTTTATAGCTGTGAGTAAGTACTCTTAGATCATAATCTTCTGAATTATTTGTTACTTTTCAGTTGTTCGGGCCCATATGAAATGTATACTTTACAGATACTTGTGTGAGCTCATTCCTGTATAAATTTAATATGCTTCATAAAAACCTAAAGGTTGGTTATGGGGTTTCATGCCGCCAGCAGTGAGGCCGTGGTGGCTGGAAGCGTGGAGAGCTGTGTCTGTGGGCGTGGGAGAGACAGTTTTTACCTAGAGTTATGCTACTTGCTCGTTTTTTCTTTTCTTTTTTTCCAAACGAGGCTCTTGGAGATGGAAATTCTCCCAGGCCTTCTCCTGGTCCCGTCCCTGAATCAACACAGGGGCTCCCTCTATTTATCGTAGTTGCCTGCGAGTGGAATTTTTGATAGAAGCCTAACCCCTAAGTGGTTTAGCGGTTAGCCCATTTCATCAGGTTACTGTTGAGCTTTTTTAAGCCATAGCTACAAAAGAGAAACATAAAACCAGTCACCTCCTATGACTGTAGGCTCATCTCGGCTTTATAAAGAACCCGGCCCCTCTGCAGACACCCATGCTTAGGATTGAAAACAGTTTAACTTACTGACGTTTTACAGGGCAGTTAAATTGTTAAGCAGCGTGTGCATGTGGCTTCTCCTTCTCCAGGGGCCCCTCGTGACTTGAAGTGCACAACTAACAATTTCGAAGAGTGGGACTGTTCTTGGAAAGCGCCCTCCGGAGCGGGCCGCAGTGCTCTTTATGAAGTTTGCCTTGAAAACAGGTAATGGAAGTACTTTGATTAATCTATAGCTGCAACCTAGAGATACTCTTTCTCTTTAATTTAGAGCATAAGAAATTTCGTTTCATAAATTTTTAAATGAAATTTGAAATCTTAGCTCTCTATTTCCTAAAAATTCTGAATCTTTCATTAGTCAAGATGGAAACAAACCTTTCTCCTGGCCAAAGCGTTGATTCTTTTATTATGTGAATAAGGAGTAGGTAACATACCTCTGCAGTGCAGTGGGTTCTGATGTATCTACCCCATGACAGTTAGGTTGAAGTTTTGCCTGTGTCCAACAGAAAATGTCAGTAATAACAACTTAACAGATAGTCATGTGCTCTCATATAAAAGACCGGGAGTAGGAGTTCAAGGCTGACCTGGTCGTTTATGGACACAGGAGACCAGGGTTCTCCGTTCATCATGCTATTCTGCTGTCTTTGGCATGTGATCACGTGGTTCAAGATGAGACTTGAAAAGCAGCTATCGTGTGTACATTCCAGAAAGTGGGAAGGAAAAGAAGGATGCTTTTCTCTAAGGAGACTTGTAAGAAGTCCCACACTCCGCCTCTGCTCATGTCTCACTGGCAGAGCTCAGGCAGACAGCTAAGCTGGGCTGCACAGAGGCCAGGCCACCCTTCTCCTAGCTGGACGGCAGTGGGCCCCGGTGACCGCTGGGTTAATGTTAGTGAGGGAGAACGGGAGGGGGATGTTCGGAGGCAAGTGGCGGGTTCTATCACGCCGAGGGACCCTCTCAGGTAATGTTGGAGTAGACTGGACACTCTGAGGTCTGGAGTTGAGGCCTTTGGGCTGTCTGAGAGCTAGAACCATTTCCCTGCCTTCCCTGGAGCCCCGAGGGCACGGCATTGTCGAAACAATCCCAGAGATTCATTCACACAGCAGCTCCCAGGCAGACCTGCTTGGTGGCAGTACTGGGTCCTAATGTGAATTGACCTAACTGTGCTCTGAAATGCCCTCAGATCTTTTCTCAGTCACTGTGCATTTACGGAGCATTATTCTCATCCCTGGGGTCATTTATCGGTGTGGATGCATTTGGTGGCATTGCAGAAACAACTCTCAATTCCTCTTTCTTTATTTCGTGCTGCGAAAATAAAGGACTGTTTTCTGCTTGTGTATGGCGCTGTCTTGAGTCAGCTGGCATCCTTGCCTTTGTCTCTTCCTCGGGGCCCCAGGCCCAGGGCCGTGGGGGCCGGAAGGAGGGAGCCCAGCCAGGAGGGCTTTCCCCGCTTCCTTCCCGGGATGATGGCTGTGACTTTCACTCAAGAGTTCCCTGCAAATGAAGGCACATCACCAGGTCCGGCTCCAGAGGAGCGGGGAAGTGCATTCGTAACATGAATGCAGAAGGGGAAAACCTCCAAAATGTGGTAGAGAGCACCGCAGGCCACACCGAAAGGAAGTTTGTGCTCGCGCCCAGGAGCTCGCAGTGGACAGGTCCGACCCCACTGTGGGCTCGGGGCCTGGCGCTGGCAGGGGTTGCACACGAGGGGCCAGGGCGCATGGGCTGAGGAGTGGGGCTGGCGGCTCCGCGGCGCTTCTCAAAGGACCTGTGCTTGTGGAATGGGAATCCTCAGTTCTCTCAGCAGGAAAAGGACAAAAGGACATTCCAGGCTGAAAGAATGCTGGGCAGAGTGCATGACCGAATGAAATAACACAATTTAGAGAATTCAGGTGGTTTTGATGCCAGAGGGGAAACCAGCCCCTAGAGGGCACAGTAGCCCTGAGCCAAGAGGGTTCCCGGCTCCGTACAGGAGAGACTTCAGATGCAAGCCAGACAAGAGGCGGAGGTGAGAGTGTATTATTAGCAAGGCAGTGGGACAGAGAGCAGGCCACTCCACAGGCAGTCCTCCACTCTTACAGGTGAGGTAGGGGGGCCCCAACTCTCTAGAGGCTGAGCTGGTATCTGCAGTTGCTGTGGAAAATTGCTGGTTTGGGGAAATAGAGAGTGGAAAAAATGCTGGGGTTAACTTTAACCATTATGGTCTATTTTGTGGTCTGTTTTTCTTTTGTGGTATGAGTAAATGTTTGTGGTATGGGCATGCTTTTGATAGGACTCTTATCTCAGGCTCTGAGTCTGACACGGCTTCCCTTTCATTCATTTGTGTAGTTCTCACGCCTCTTCCCTGTAGCAGTGTGTGTTGCTCTCACCGAAAGGAGCCTCACCCTTTGAGCTGAGGGGCGGTGGGTGAGCCTTAAAAGTCCTCTGCCCCTAGTGAACACTGTGAACAGGCCCCTGGTAGGAGCTGGCATGGGCCAGGGATGCAGGAGCCACCAAGGATCCCTTTGCTTGACTTAACATTTTTGGGAAAGCCCTGGCTGGTGTCCCTCAGGTGGTTGGAGCATCGTCCTATGACCAAAAGGTTGCAGGTTTCCTTCCCAGCCAGGGCACATGCCTAGGTCATGGGTTTCATCCATGGTCTGGGTGCGTCCGACCCATGGTAAAGGCACGTGCAGGAGGCGATCAGTTGATGCTTCTCTCTCATATCGTTGGTGTTTCCCTCCTTTCCTCCTCCCTTCCTCCCTCTGTAGAGGCAATAAAAAAACATCTCGAGTGAGGGCAACAGGAAAAAAACATGATGGAAGTTAGAAATGTACCTGAGTGGCAGTAAAACGAATGTGAATGTTTCACAAGGATCCAAAGGGCCGTGGAACCACAGGGAAAACAATCGCTTTTGTCTAAGAGATGAGGGGTGGGAAACTAGAAGCATTTTGAAAGCAGTTGACCAGAAAGATTTGTTCAGTGAATCATGAGCCAAGACAGAGGAGCAGAGAGCTGAGGGCGTGTTTTCAGGGGCAACAAGTAGCCAGTTCCCTTTCTGTGGGCAGCGTCTGTTAGGACTGAGGAGTGTTCAGGGAGGAAGGAGTGTGCAGCAGGAGGTAGCGGTGGGCGGGCGTGCTCCGACCCCGGTTCTAGAAGAAGTCGCCTGTGCTTATGCGCTCAGCATTCTAGTACAGCCTGGTTCTTGTTCCTTCACGCCTCCATCAATGCACTCGCTATTAACCTCTCTTTTCTCAGTCTCCAAATGTGATAGAACCTATCATATTTTTATAAGAAGAGCATAAAGTATTTTCCAGTGCATTTTGTGTTAATCAAGTTTTAATTGAAATAGTACTGTTAATTTTATCTGCTGATAAAAATTTGATTTCTTATATTGCAGGTCCCCTTCATGTTATCAATTGAGGAAAACAAATACTAAAATCGCAGCTCTTTCACCTGGTGATCACGAAATAACGATAAACCTGCTACATGATTTTGGAAGTTCTATCAGTAAATTCATACTAAATGAAAAAAATGTTTGTAAGTATTTGAAAAGAAAATGGATTTGAAAATAACTCAAAACAGTGCCTTTGCGGGTTTCGTGGTGCTTCACGATTGGCAGAAACGGACCGTTCTTCTGATGCTCGGCTGGGATGGGGATGCGCTCGCCCTCCCAGCAGCCATCCCGTGGATGGCAGAGCGTGGCCGCGATCAAGGAGGAAGCACGCTGTCCTCTAAGCCAGTGGCTGTCACCCGGCGCACCACGAGAATTTTTAAAACATGCAACACCTCATTATTTAGTCAGGGACCTCTTAGGTTTTCCCTTAGATTGTCAAATTGAAAAATGACAACTGCCAACACAACAATAGGCTGTTTGGTGTAAGTGAATCAAAAGTATATCCTTTTTTTTTTTTTTTTTTTTTTTTTTTGGTCAGATTGGAAAAAATTGTATTTCTTGGTGTGCCACAAAATTGTAGTAATTAATTGTGTGCCATGAGGTGAAAAAGGTTGAAAATCACCACTCTAGTCAGTTGAAATAGATGCTGCTGAATTCAAGATCCTTCCGTCAGTTGGATACTTTCTCCCCAGTCCCTTGCCTTGTGGATCCCTGCACACCTTTCAGAATTTCGCAGGTGCTCCTTGCTCTGGGAAGTAGTCGCTGACGTCCCCCCTCAGGACACCCCACCCCTCCCCCCTCCGGCAGCCTGCGCTTCTCCTCTGCGCCATTTCTCACAGCTGCATTAATACCCTATCATGTAATGAGGCGCTCACTGTGTGTCTCTTTCACAAGAAGGTAGGTTCCATCAGTCAGGGACTTGGTCCTCCACGCCCGGCCCCTCGCCCAGCGCCTTGCACACAGCAGCCATCTTTGGCAAGTACGTTGATTGCACAGCCCAGGACACGTGCTACACCCTGAGAGGAAGCACGAACCAATGTAGGGCAACGGCAAGGGCGCCTTGCTCTGCACCGAGACCTTCAGCAGCCCGGCGGTCGTGACTCTTAATGGCGGGGTGAACAGGTTTCCTGGCTCCTGACGGCTGTTCTGGAATTGGCATCATAATAATATTACAATGAGTCCGATGAGGATGGCTTACTTTGAAGCAAAGGAAAGAAAATAAAATTAACTTGGCGATCTGTCCAATTTCATGGATGGATGCATGTTTGGAGCGGTCTATGTCTGAGATGGTTTGAGAGGATAATAACAAAGCATGCTCCCCAGGAACTACGCGTGAGGTGGTTTCGTACCCAGCAGCCACGATCCCAGTACCCACAGAGAAATACCGTGAACACATCAATCTATATTCTGTGCGTATAAACAATAAGGTTCATCTATAATCTGCTTAACAGAAGAAATAGATAGATTTTCCAGGTGTTACCTAAATATAAGCTGCGGAGTATTAAATTGAGTGGAGGTGCCATAATTACTTTTAAGTGAGTGGTTATTAACATTGAGATTTTTATTTCGAGTTTTTCAGTATTATAACCACTGCTTTAATAAACATCTTTCGCACATATGTGTTTCTGAATTTGTGGACTGTTTTCCTTAGGCTAAATTTCTAGAATTGGGAATGCTGCATTAAAGAAAATTCCACTTTTTATGACTTCTAATAATCCACTGCCAGCTGCTCTCCAAAAGTTTTGAACCTCTTTGCCTCCCCACAGCGATCACCTCCGAGAGCGCCCGTCCCCCCCACCCCGGCCAGGCTGGGGGTTGTCTCTCTGGGTTCTGCCATTTCAGTCTGATGGGCCCCAAGTTACGGTCCCATGATCTTTGCATGTCTGCTATTATTTCTTTAATTATCAATATTTTTATTTTTTTCTGGACAGTCTGTATCCTTTGTAAATTTTCTCATGCTAAAATTATTGTGTTTATTAATTCTGTCATCTTTGCTACAAGTACTTTTTCAAGTTTAAAATTTTAACTTTGTGGTATTTTTCACACCACAGGTTTTCATTTTTATATAGTCTCTTGCATATTTCTTCATGAGTTTTTGGTTTTGTTTTCATGCTTTAAATCTTTTACTCATATGGAATTATTTTGTAGTATGGTATGAGGAATCTAACAATTTTATTCTGGATTTGAAAAAAAAAAAATTCCCAGGCCTCTGTCAGAGAGCCTGTTTGTATTGCCTGGTTCTTCCATAAGTCTCCAGAAGGTTCTGTCTGGGAAGCTACTTGAAGATGACAGTGTTAGATGGAAAGACTTAGAAAGGCAAATCAGAAGGGACTCTAGCTGACTAATAATAGTTCATTGTTTTTTGCATATCGTGTAATTTATTGTTTAGCATCTTTTAGTAATGGCTCGATTGTGAGTTGCATATTAGATTAACAGGATGCCCATACGAAGATATTACTACTACTAAGGTAAATAAGAAAATTGAAAAGCCAATTAGGTGAATATAAGAGAGAGATGTGGGTGCGTGAGCAAATCTTGGGGCGCCAGGGCTGTGGAGAGAAGCCCTGGAGCGAGAGGCCGCTGCGCATGGGAGGATCCAGGGTCTTTGGCAGTTTGACACTAAATAAAAAGTATGAGAAATTACATTTTCTCCAGACCTTAAGATGCTTTCAAAAGTGCACATATAAGAAGGCAAATAAGATATTTAACATCTATACATACATGGAATAAGTTCCTAATTGACAAGGGCAGGCACAGTAAGAAGTCTTTCTAAGGACGTTAATGCCTGAGTTTCTGGTGATCTGAAACTTTGGATCTGTCTGAGGCAGAGGAACTGCTCTGTGGGTCCTACAGAAGGGCCGGAAAGGCTCCCGCTTCTGGCATCCTAAGACCAAAGAACATGGAGGTTTGAGGAAAGAGATGCTCTAGCTTTAAAAAATAAATGAGATGGATGACATTTTTTTCCTAGCTGATAAGTTCCTAGTTTCTAGAAAGCAAGTTAACGTCCTCAAGTGTCTGTTCTAACTGGAAAGAAATGCAGACGTTTCTGGGAGCCGTCGGGGGACTTCCTGGGCATGCTGTAAAGAAAAAGGGAAGAGAGTGTGTGCACAGCCCTCTCACTCACAATGACTGCCTCCAGCTTGCCGTCATGGATATGCCTTGTGTTTTGAAGAGCCGCCCACCACTATTTAAGTAAAATGTAAACCATGGACTTTTCAGGGAAGAAAGCATTTTAATGGATGAATGCTGCCTTAGTAAAATACTCCCCTGTTTCATAATTTTAAAGTTACTACATCTTGATAACTTGGAACGGTTGAGAGAACCACATTCTTGGAAGCCTGTGCTCCGTGTGGCCACACTGGTACCTTGAACTTTCGCTCTCCTGGCGCTAAAACAACTTTCTCCTCGTTTGCTCCTTTTGTAGAAGCGATGCCCCACCTGACACTTAAACTGCGAGGCACCCGCCACGGTCCTTATCTAGCTGAGTGACTTGACTTCGCTGTATACCTGTCCTGTTTCCTGTTCAGCCCTACACATTCCACATACACCCATTGCAGAGCACTGTGGTCAGCAGATTGTAGTTAAATTTAGTAAGGGCTTATTTTTAAGTTCCAAGATGAATTTACTACATGGGTGTGTCCTGCCATTTTTTGTCGCTGAGCACGTTCAGCTCCCCTCCTGCCAGGACTTCACTTCATTGGTCCGTGAGCTTTGCAGGGAAGCCACTAGGGTGGGTCTGAGGCCTGAGAATGTGTGCGCGCATTTCTCAACTCACCTGTCACGGGAGGCGGGAACATGCAAGAAAGAGTCCCAGGTTTCTCTGCCCCTCACACCAGAAAGCCTACAGTCTTGGGACAGAGTAGGCTCATGCCTCGTGTTTTCCACTGATCCCCTCCCCCCTAATTCAGTAACTTGTCCCTTATACACAGGGAAACTTGAAGATTTTGAAGGTTACCTTACTTTTCTGCTGCTTTCTCCCTCCCTCCCTTCTGTAATGCAGCTTCAGAGCCCGTGGCCCCCGCCCGCCCAGCTTCCTTCTCCAACACTGACAGTCCGCTCACCAGCGTCGCTGGTCTTCTCTGTCTTCTGCGAACTCTGCTGTTCGCCTAGATGACAACCCATTTCTTTTGGTCTCAGTGATCCTGGATTGTCTTTGTTTTGTTTTGTTTGTTTTTTTCCTGCCTCTGTGTTCTCCTTTTCCAGAGTCTGGTTTCTTGAACATGTAACTGTCTACCATACAAGCCCTCAAACAAGCTTTGGCTGGTTTACGTCAGTGCATTCACATTCATTTCTGCAGCCACACTCAGCAGGTTCCTCTTGAGTCTGTCCATGGTCTTGCTCCTCTGCCTACAGACGCATCTGGTTGATGGCCTCTTCTTGACCCATGGTCACTCACAGGAGTCTCCTGCATCTCTTCACAGTGGTCCCTGAGTCCTTTGGACCTTCTTGCTTTTCTGGACTAGAAGTTTGAAGTGATCTTAGATGCTTGCCTTCCTTGTTATACTAACTAATCCTTCATTTCTTTGGTCCATTCATTTCTTTGAAATGCCCATCAGATTTTGTCCTGGCTGTCCCCTATAGAGAATTGTGACCCAAGCCTCGTGGCTCCGGCCAGGCTTGCTCCAGCGGTCTCTTACCTGATCACCTCGCCTCAGTCTCAGTCCCCCGCAGGCCGCGTTGCACACTATTCCCTAGCCTTTCAGAAGGACTTCTAGGCCTGTCCCTAACCCGTCGGCCTCTTCCCTCAGTGTCTTGGTCTTTACTATGGTCTCGCTGCTATTTACTGAGACCTAGCAGCAGGAATAGCCTCTGGCACCCTCGTGTGAGTGACCTCCCCCGGCACAGGGGGCTCTGACACTCTGAGATGACTGGGAATTCTGGCCACTGAGAAGCCACTGGCAGAAAGCTCTGCCAGAGCAGGCTTTCCATAACCCATGCAGGTCGTGTGCTGAGGCCCGGCCCACAGCCACACAAGGGAAGTCCCTTGTGTCACTTCTGCTCTTGCCCGCTTGTAGGTCCCAGGCCAGGCGGCCCCGCAGTGTCGCTGTCGGCAGAGCGGTGGGTTAGAAACCGCCAGCTGGAAAATAGGTGTCTCAGATGTGGCCGATGAGACATTGGGAGGTGCTTACCCAAATAAATTCGTATGTTCTTGTTCTTTCAGTGAGAGATTCCAGAGTTTGCTTTTAATTCTTGATTATTTATTGTTTCATCAGGAAGAAATAGAGCTTAAGATGACTTGACAAATGGAATTGGCAATATGAAAAATCATTACTTATTTTACTAAGTTTTCTCTTTTTTTTCCCCCATTTTTTAAGCCTTCATTCCAGATGCTCCAGAGATCTTAAGTTTGTCTCCTGACTTCCCAACTTCCACATTACACCTGAAGTGGGAGGACAAGGGTTCTGCTTTCCCACGCCACGCAAACGTCATTTGGGAAATTAAAATTCTGCGTAAAGAGAATACAGAAGTCGTGAAATTAGTAAGTCTGGACAAAGTATATTTTTTTTTATGACATGGAAGAAACAGTATGTTTTAAAACGATTTTTAAAGCGGTCTTAATGAACCTTTGGATTACCAAGGAGGTAGATCAGATATCTTTTCAGGGTTCATTAAAATGATGCTGTGACTCAGAAATCACTCTGTGATTAAAAGAAAGTGCAACCGTTATAAGAAGGAAATTAAGAGAGGTATAAATGTGATTCTACTACTTGAACACAATAAACATTGTCTTTATGTGTTCCAGTCTAGCCTGTTTTATATGCATGAAATAAAAGTGTACATATAACTCAGTCTATTATTTTTATCTTTGTCTAATATAATAAACATAAAAAGAAATGTTTTGAAACATATTTAACCATAGTAATTGTTGGTAAAATTTGTATAAATCTGTAAGTTTGAATATATCTTAATCTGAAATAATACTCTTACATTTAGTAATACGTGTTTTTCCCCCCTCTTATTTTTTTAAAATACTATTTTGAATGGTTTATTTATGATCTGTGTTTAGTTTGCTCTTAATCTAAGGAATAATGAGAAATAGCAGTGAAATGTTTTGACAACTGGTACATGGTAATTTTCCCTTTTATCCTTTTACTCTTCTTTCCTTGAAGGATTTGAAACAATGCTTTGTTGTAGATTTAAGAATTAAAAGATCATCTCATGATTTTATAATTTATTTGCCTAAGTACATAGATAAATGAGTAAAGATAATAAATAGGATATTCTGTTTCATAGTTGTCATCTTTTTCCTTTTGACGACTGCCTAAGTATCCCATTTTCCCAAGCTTTATACTCCTGAAGTGGTAACAGTTGTAGTTGTGGTGAGCATGTATCTGACGCTTCCTGAGCTCCTGGCGCTCTTGTAGAAGCTCTGTGTGGGTCAGTTGTCTGCATGCACGACGGGCCCGTGGAGAGCGGGGGGCCTGTGAGCCTCCTCCCCGTTTCACAGATGGAGCCGCAGAGTCGCAGGAAGGCATGACGTGGCGTAGCCAGGACGCGAGACGGGCAGTTTAGCTCCAGAGTCTGTGCTCTTAACCACTACCATTTATTTTACATAAGAAGAACATACATTTTTCATCTAAGATGCCCTCCCTTTCTTTTTACCTATCCAAATTGAACCTATGTTTCAAGACTCCTGTAAAACCCTGCCCCTTGTTTTAAAGCCCATCCTAATTACCTCAGCCTACATTGCTCTTTCTTTTCTTGAATTTGAATGGCAATTCTTGCCTGCCAGTCACAGTTACAGCTAGGTATTACATAGCTGTATGCTATTGTCTTAATGTTACTACTTATTTAAAATTGTATTGAGTAGCTTTGTATCACGGCTTAACATTGTGTGTTCTGCATTCTGACCTACTGGCTTCGAGTAACTTCTTGAAATCACCTTTTCTCATCTGTAAAGTGACGTTAATATTTGCTCTAGTTAATGGTAAGATATTTATAAAGCTGCTAAACAATTATTAACTGTCATTACTTCCTTTGTGAGGTAGTTTTTTTAAAAACTAACTCAGGGATGCTAGAATAAGAGGGATTCTCTTTGAAGTATGAATGGAATCTAACATGAATGAATGGAAATATTATTCTAAAGTTTTATGACTCATTCGTAAGAACACGGCAGAGGCAAGGTGGTAATTCTGTACTGTTGGGAATATGATCTTTGAAGAAGAATCTTTGTATGAGGAGATAAAGCAGGAGGCAAAAGAAAAATTCATTTTAAAAAGTGACATACAAGACGGTAAATGATCCAGGTCCATAATAATGTGACATTTTTATTTATAATTATACATTATTAATAGTAGTATTTATTAGATTTGCTTATTATCAGTCACTTTGTGACAGGTTATAATGCTGTTATTGTATAAAGGTTTAAAGATCAAGAATACCGCACATTAGCATTTTGTTAATCAGTTTCATTCATAGGGTTTTCATTTATACCGTGGCAGTTTCTGCTCATGGCCTCGCGTGCAGCCGTGGAGGCTGCGCGTTGCTCTGACCGGGATGTGAATGATGCCTAGGAGTTGGGCGGCACCTTTCCTCCTCCTGTTTTTCTCTCCCTTTTTGTTTGAGCAGTGCTTTATTAACTGTGCACAATGGAGGATGAACTTTAGTCCCGTCACCTCCCACCCCGGGCGCACACGCTCACGTGCTTGTGTGCTTGCTTTTATGCACACTCGCTCACACTCCTCCACCCCCGCACACATTTTTATCTTTTTCCAATATTGTTCTGTTCTAATTTTTGGTAGAGCAGTATTTATTGTTTGTATTGCAGTTGCATAAACACTATTTAAAAATCAACCAAGTAGTGTATACTGTTTTGTTTTCCCTTCCTTCATTCCTTCCTTCCTTTTTCTTCCTTTGTCCCTTTATTCCCTTTTCTTTCTTTCTTTTCTTTTCTTGCTGTCTTTCTTTCTTTTTCTTTCTCTCTTTCTCTTTCTTTTTCTCAGAATGTCCTGTATTTTTAGTTTTATTTATCTGCTTCCTTAATTCAATCCTAAGATCTCTCCAGATCATGTAAATCGCCTGTTGAAGTGTTCAAACATACATTTTTGTGAGTAAGTCTCCCTGAGGGCCTTCTGACTTCCTTCCCCACCCTTTTCTAATGTGGGCTCATACAGATGCTGCCCATAGTCATGTAGCAGAGAGTGTGGTAAATAGTTGAGGATTCTTGGGGCCAGAGGTGCCTTCAGAGCTCCAGTGGCCTCAGTTCCTACCAGTCACCCTGGACTGGCAGATTCAAAGCTAGGTACACCCATAACCTGCTCAAGACGAACCCCAGTGTCTTTTTGGCACATTTGTCAGGAAGCTGTGGTCCAGGAGTCTCCAAGATCGTCCAAGGGATTCTTTTTACTCTTTTCTTTTGATGGATCCCCTTTTCCTGAGTTCCCTGCCTTCTATTTCTTCACTTTGGTAAAAGCATGTATTCTGGTAGTTATTTGCTTACTTATTATAGATTCTCTCTGCTATTTAGAATGATAGTTTGCAGATAAATACATTTAAATTTTTTAAATTTAAAACTATTTCAACTATTGAGAAGATATAGAACAGCTGGAACTTTCATATTACTTCTGGTGGAAATGTAAAATGCTACTTGATGACTACATTGAGGCTTGACATTCTTAAAAATGTCTTTATTCTGCATGCAGTCATGCTTGGTAGTTTAGCTGGGTATAGAATTCTAAATTGTTTCAAGATTTTGAAGGCATTGTTCAATTTTTCTTGTCATGGATCTGTCTTGATCTGTTGTGCTGGAGGGACATTCATTTTGGGTCTCTTTCAGTCTGAAAGAAACATGTCTTATCAGCTTCGGAAGTTTTCTTTATGTTTTTAATTTTTCTCATATTTGTTTTCTCTTTTTTTTCCTTAGAACTTCTACTCTTTTAGAAATTGGACCTTCTGTACTGGTTCTCTACTTGTCTTGTCATTCCTGCTCTCCATCTGTATTTTGCTCAATTTTCTGAGCAATTTTTCCTAAGCTTTATCTTGTAGTCCTGCTATTGAATTTCTATTAATATATTTTTGAATTTACAAGGTATGCCTCTTTTGTTCTCTTCTCTCTCTCTTTTTTTTTAAATGTATCCTGTTCTTGCAATATCTCTTCTAATCCCTGAGAGTATCAGAGACTTTTAAAAATTTTTTTCCTTCTGTGTATTCTGTTTCTTCAAGTTGCTTTTTTTTTTATTTTGATCTTTGACTTTTACATTAGAACTTTTTCTCCACTTTCTGGTCACTTGGTTGCTGCATATTTAAGTGAGTGTCTCTTAAAATATATGAAAAATCTAATTGCGATTTCTTTTTGCCTGGATAAGGTTTGTTGACTGGGACTCATCATAAGTAATTAGGAGGGGATATCTAATTACCAATATTATTATTATAGGAAAAATCTTAATATTATTTTAGTTTTTGTCTTGGCATGTTCATATGCCCCTGAAAAGTTTGTTTAGACTCCTACCTGTTGAATATGAACTTTGCCATCACTATCCTGAGCTGAGTACGGGAAAAAGGCAGGAGTCTCACCCCAGCCTTCAGAATGCATCCATTAACAATCCCCCTATTTTGGGTGCATTATTCCTCGTTCTCAGCCTCCCTGAGTCTTCAGTCCAGAAGTATTCTGTTTTACTTTCCTAGTGCATAAATGTCCATTCCTCTACTAAGGTCAAGAAGGGTAGGGCTTTGCTAGCATAGAACATAAGAGGAGATCTGGGTGCCTGACATCTCTTCAGACAACTTTGGAGCAGTTTTCCTGTTTGGCATCTCACCTTCACAGAGCGTTGCCAGGGGAGTCTGGTGCATTTCTGTAACAGGAATCAGGTTGTGCTGGCTCTCCCTCTGGAGGCTTGGGATTCAGCTTCCTCAGGCCTTCTGTGTGAGCTACCATTTTTCATCTGCTCTCAGCACCCACATTTTATTGGTGGGTATTTCTCCTGTTTTTTGCCCTTGTACAGTTATACTTTAAAAAAAAAAAAAGCCTGTGTACTCTTGTTTTAGATTTCAGGAAGGAAAAGGGAGTGCTTTTTTCTTTTTAATCTATTGTCTTTTTTCGTAGATCCTCAATATTTGGTTTAAATCTTCTCCACTTTTCGTAACTGAGATTAACATTTTATATTATTATGAATTGCTTATTTAAAAATAGAAATGTAAATATATGACACATATACAATAAAAACAAATACAGTCCAAATCAGTAATTTATTTTTTTGAAATGCTGCTCCTCTCTTTGACTTTAACTCTTGGAGGTACAAATCCGTTGTTTTTAACTCCATGAAAAATGGAGATCATGTTAAGCAATGGTATATTTTCTTGTAAGCTGTAGTGATTGTTCTGAAATATCAACATTTTAGATAATAATATACAATAGTAGGGCTAAAGTTGAAGTAAACATAAATGAATCATGGTCATTGTTACTATAACTCTCCTAGTATACATTAGAGGAAACTGAGACAGTTTAATGAAAGGGCAAGCCTGTCACTTACTTACTTAGCTGCTTGCCGTATATGGTCTGCCGGGTCTCTGATTGTGAAGGAAGGCGGCACGGACCACGGCTGGGAAGCAGAACTCTGTGCTTGTGTCCATGCTGCAGGAGACCTACAACACAACCCTGAGCGGCAAGGACGTTGTCCACCACTGGAGCTGGGTCTCAGACATGCCCTTGGAGTGCACCACGCACGCCGTGGGACTGCGATGCTACATCGATGATCCTCATTTCTCTGGTCGCAAAGAGTGGAGTGACTGGAGCCCCCTGAAGAACGTTTCTTGTAAGCTTCTATTTAAAGAGTTTTTGTGTCACGTGAACGAGATTAACCTTGCCTCGGGGTAAGATGTAGGTTAAGCTTTGAGTTCTCGGAACCCCATTTGTCTGTGTGAGGGTCACCTGGGGATCTTTCAAGTCTCCCATCCCAGTATTTTTTTTTATTGATTTTGAGAGAGAGAAAGAGAGAGAAGCATCGACCTGTTCCACTTATTCATACACTTACTGGCTTTTTCCTGTGTGTGCTCTGACCACAGAGTGAACTTGCAGCCCTGGCGCACTGGGACGAAGCTCTAACCCGCTGAGCTGCCCCGCCAGGGCTCATCCCAGTATGTTCGATTCGGGAAGTCTGAGATAGGCTTCAGGAATCTGTATTTTTAAAGAGCTCCTGAGTGTTTGGATAAACGTCCAGGTTTGAAAGTCCATGTGGTAGACATCCAAGAGCATTTAAAATTTTTGTGTAGGTGGTAATGAGATCACGCCTATATTTAAAAAAAAAAAAAAAAGGCACCTAATTTGTCATCCACAGAGTCAACCCCTGTGAGCTACAGTTTTTGCAGAGACATGGGAATCTGCAACTATGCCCCAGATCATCAGTACATTGACTAAAACTCATCTGCAGGTAGAATGCTGGCAGTATGGGAGAGGGCCTCTCAAATTCCTGACAATAAAATGAAGTTCTCAAAAGGACTGCTGAACATTGTAGATTATTCACTTTATTGACTCTCTGGAGAAATGGATCAGAGGAAGAAAGGACTGGAAGCAGGTGGATAAATAAGGGGATTCTTCTTGCAGTGCAGCAAAAGCCAATGAAGGCATGACTAGGACACTTGGGTTTAGAAATGAAAAGGGAGAAAAGTGCAAAAACACTGAGGAGACAGAATCAGAGTGACTCTGTGTTTGGTAAGGGCGAAATAGAGCCAAAGACGACTGTTAGTTTGGGCAGCTGGGTGGCTGGTGCTGCTTTTCACAGAGACAGAAAATGTATGAACAAATTAGGTAGGAAAGATCACTTTCACTTTTACATGGATCTTGAAGTCCGTACGAAGTGCTTGGATAGTGGTGTCTCAGGCAGCTAGAAATACAAGTGTGGCATCCAGTTGGAGCTGCAGATCCATATTTGAACATTAACATGTATGTGAGGTGAAAATTTTTAAACCCTGGGGTTTACCATAACTGGGGAAAAAGGGAATGGAGACCAAGGACCCATCCCTCGGAAGCTTTGTGTCCAAGGGGAGGATGGGAGAAAGGCCAGCAGAACAAAAGGCCCCCAGAGGGTTAGGGGAAGTCCCGGGGGATGCAGTGAGGGAACCCAGGGGAAAAGGGAGTTTCAAGCAGGCAGACTTCAGGCAGCGCACCAGATGCGTGAAGGTCAAGAGGAACGTTACTCAGAAGTGGCCGCTGGGCTGAGCAATTCAGCCGGCCAGCCACTTGAGTCAGATGGTTGGGGTAGGAGCCAGATCACAGTCTGTGGAAGAGGAAACAGGTAGAAAGGAGACTAGAGGTAATTTAGTAGGCAGGCTATTTAGGAGAATAAAAACCACAGGTAGGCTTTAAGCTGCAAAGAGTTGGGATTAAAGAAAGTGCTTTTTAGGATATGGAATACTCAAACACATATTCAGGCTGACGGAAAGTAAGGTGTCTGCCCTAAAATATAGAATCATTTCAGGGGAATGGAATTATTTGAAATCAGCACTTTTTCTTGGTGTTGGTTTTTCACATGTGGCTAAAAACCCATTTATGGGACTTTTAGAACTTCTGAGACAGGAACCTGTGACCTTAGGCGTTGACCTACAATCCCCTCCTCTCCCCAACCATCACTCCACTGTAAGTAAATAGAACCACACACACTTTACTTCTTGTACATGTCTTGCTCCTCTGAGACCTGGGGGACATACCTTATCTTTGGGCCACCATTATTACAAAGCACCCCAAGTATGTTTTGTATACACTGGGTTGCTTTATGGTAAAAGATTTCTAAAGTGTTTGTAATTTCTTTTGCTCTTTCTAGGGTCCACTGATTCTCAGGGTAAGGTTCTCCCTCAAGACAAAGTGATACTTGCGGGCTCAGATATAACATTTTGTTGTGTGACTCAAGAAAAAGTGTTTGTAGCCCAGATCGGCCATATGATATGTCCCCTTATTCATCTTGATGGGGAAAATGTCGCAATCAAGGTCCACAATATTTCTATTTCTGAAGATAGTGGAACAAACGTGGTTTTCACAACAAAAGAAAACATTTATGGAACAGTTATTTTTGCAGGATGTAAGTATAAATTTTTTTGAAGTTCCTATTAATCATTTTTGCCTTCTTTGAAAGGTTAATGCTCTTTTGAGGGAGAAGGGGTGTGACTTTTTATTCTTTAATATAAATGGTACAAAAGGCACCGGAAGTTTTACTTGCTTAAAGGTGAGATCTGAGCTTGGTTTTATACATACATGTATCTATAGAACTTACAGGTTTTGTAATAAGATTTGAAACATTCATCTGCTAACTTTTAGTTTAAATTCTTGGTTAACAGCTTTGTTGAGTCAGGGGTAGTTAGTATATAATATTGGCAAATCCTACTTTCTTTAACAATGATTTCATGGAAGTTAATTTCCCGTCTAATTATAGCGTACCTTTTTAAAATAAGTACCCAAATTAAGGAAATTAGAGTGGTTTTCCACAAAATCTTTCAGTAACATAATATAGGTTTCTCCAACTTAAAAAAGAAAATCTTTGGGGAAGGGAGGCCCAGGCGAGAGCACAGGGTTTTCGCGGGTGCTGTGTGCACGGAGCCCCCGACCGCAGGGCCCCTTTACCAGCGCGGCCCCTCCCGCAGCTGCTGAAGCCCACGGCGGCCCAGGAGTGGCTGTGGGAAGGGCCCGGCCTGTGTGGCCTGCGTTGAATGTGCACAGATCACGTGGCCTGTCGAGCTCTCCAACCCCTCCCCCGTGGCCACTCTGATGTGGTGGCTTTGTCTCCAGCTTCCTCCCACCCTCCCGCATTCTGCATTCAGAAGCTCTGTGTGGGGTCCAAGGGGCCCACGAAATGAAGTGTGTAAGATGCAGCGAGTGGGTTTTGTGCTGTTTCTCTCCTGTGCTTAATGATTTCCTCTCGCTCTTTGATGGTTCTCGGCTCTGCTCCAGAGCAGCAGCGCTCGGCCTCCCTTCCCCTTCCGTGGGAAGTTAGGATGAGTTGCAGTCCGTTGCCGACCTCCTTCCAACGGAATAACCAGGATCGGGTGCACGTCTTGGCCTGATGGCTGTGCCCTTGGTCTCTTTTTGCCTCCCCAGGAATGCATGCGGAATTCAAGTGAGGGTGCAGTTATGTTCTCACCTAAACTTCAGAAAATCAAACGTTCTTTCCTAATGGTCTCTTAGGGAATGACTTGCCATCTAAGCTGAGAACCGGTGGTACATGGCATGAGGCTGCCTGGCAGGTGACAGCAGAAAGGGAGAGAGCGGCTTGAGAGTATGAAAGAACCTAAATGAAAACTTAAAAGATGAGAATACTCACAGGTGTTATTATTGGAAACAATGTTCCAACCTCTTATCATTTCAAGGTTTGTGAGCTCAGCAGCAGCTGTAGAGTTTCCCTTCAGAGGGAGCTCTTTAGAAACTTACAGCCAGGACCGGTGATGGTGTGAGCTGGCAATCAAGATTCGTTTATTTTCCTTCCCCTTCAGGCACCCTCTTAACACACAATGCATTGAAAAGACTAAAAAGAATTTTAGAGTCAACTTGTCCGCTTCCCCCTGCACACACACAGTCATCATCAAAACCTGCCAATATTTGGATTTGGATTACTTTACCTGGATCAATTTAGGAAAATTTTCTTCCGTACAGTAACAAGTCGCCGAAACCGGGAACATAGCACATCCCTCTATCTAGTCAGGTGTTCTTTCATTAGTCAGGGACATGAGGTCTTGGGTATCTTCTAGTAAGTGTGCTCTCACATGTTTATGTTTATGGCGATATCAATGGCTTTTTCTCTCCAGTTTATTCTTGTAATTGAAAATAAATTTATTATCTAGCAGACAGTACCTGTTAGTATTCATGCATGAGCTAATTTAGTCATAAAGCAAACAGATCTTTTATGAATAGTTATTTGTTCAGTAATCACTCAGGTAAGTTATTTTTTAATTTTTTATTGTATTTTTTCCATTACCATTTAGTCTCCTTTGATGGTGCCACTTCAGCATTCAATATTGACCTTAATGTTACTCTTTCGTCATATTTAAGGTATTTTAAAATAATACACTGTGACGTAGGATTAGAAAATGTAGATATTTATATCACATCAAATGTTATACTTTCTCACTTGAAAATCCCCTTTCATAAGGGGATTTTCATAAAAATGGCTTTGATTTTAAAACTGCATTTTGTATTTGTTGGTACATAGAAGTACAGGTGATTCATACCTAGCTTGCTTAGCTTCAGTTGGTTCTTTTGTAACTTAATTTCTTTGAAAAGAAAAGAAAATCCATACATTAACTTTTAAATACTGCCCTCTCATATGGTGTCTCCTTCTGCCTTTGCTTCCACTTCTTTCTAGTTTGCTCCTGTTATTCGGACTTTTAAGTATTTCAACCTAATGTATCTGACAAATACTAAAATAATCAGCATTTTAAATATATTAAAAAATTTGGTATGTCATTTTAATAAAATGACTGAAATTTTGGCCTTAGATTTGAAACAATTTTTAAAGCAAATATGTCAATATGAGCTTCATTGCCCAATTGTTAGACTTTCATATAATACTCATTACTCCTCCTGGTACTAACCTAAAATATCACTGCAGGACATTATTCTTATCTCTGAAAAAGGTATGTGAAATTTTCCAAGTCTTGGTTGATGAACCAAGAACTGTTTCAAAATGTTAGTTTTTTTACACTAAAGTTACAGAATTTTTCAACAAGTAGATCATTGCTTTTTAAAAAGCTTATCTTGCATGACAGATAGTTTGGATAAATGTGACAGTAGGACATACCGGTTGCCACCTTTGCCCAGTTAAACATGGTCACAAAAACACCAATGTCCATAATCAGTGTCAGACTACCAAGTTTTCTCTTACCACTTTAAACATCACAGGCACACTCACAAAAACATGTTAAATTTATTTAACATGATAAATTTATGCTGACTTGTTAACATTTAGAAGAGCCGAAGCGCCCATACACGGAAGCTGTCCGATATTTCCCACCCTTCCCAGTCAAGAGCTGCGTGACTCGCCTTTGAGTGCCCACAATCCTCTGGGCTGTTTTTTCAGGTCCTGCCTGAACAAAGTCAGGGAGGACAGTTTTAATAAAGAATGAAAATGACAGAAGAGCAGTCGTCACTTCGAGTAGAGGGAGATGCAGAATTTTACCGAGAAGTACTTTGTAAATATTAGTCCTCGTAACTTATTTAAGAACTCGAAACCTATAACATAGCATGACGCACGTTGCCGTGTGATGTGCTTTGGTGCTTCTTTCCAAATATGTACTGGTGATCAGTATTAACTAGTAGATTTTTGACCTACTGGGTACACCTTCCTTTGAGAGATTTGGTAGATTTGGGGAGTATTGAAGGGGGAAAAAGTGATATTATCTTCAGGTTGTTATTAGGCAGTTTTCAAATGAGCTAATGGTCACTCTTCAGTATATTTTAATCTATCATTTTTAATGTAATATGAACTCCAAAAAATGCTATAGAAAGAATGGTAATTCCTATATTATTCAAAAAGTAAAATATAAACAATACATTGTTTCATTTTTAACGAAATTGTACAAAATGTAATCAACATTTATGAAACATAATATTGGCAGGGAACACATACATTAAAGTAACTCCATTTTTTTTTTTCCCTTTTTCCTTTTAGATCCACCTGATATTCCCCAAAAGCTGAATTGTGAGACATACGATTTAAAGGAGATAATATGCACTTGGGACCCAGGAAGACCAACGGCATTGGTGGGCCCGCGCCAGACAACTTACAGCCTGTCTGAAAGGTAGAGGCGACCGGGAAAGGGCGTCCACTCTCACAGCGGGGAGCCCGGCAGGAGGGCGCCAGGGATACAGGGCCGTGCTCCATCTCACTCATACTGTGAGCAGGATATAAAACCAAATATGTGGTATAAAAGCCAACATGACAGCAAACTCACAGCTATCAACAACTGAATCCAAAAAACAAAAACAAGCTGAGCAAACAACCGGAACAAGAACAGAATCCTAGCTATGGCGGCCATTTGGAGGTGTATCAGCGGGGAGGGAGAGAGGGGAGAATGGGGAAAAAGGTATAGGGATTTAGAAGCATAGCTGGTAGGGACAGAATAGGGGATGGCACGAATAGTATGGGTAATGGAGAAGCCTAAGAACTTCATGCACAACCCATGGACGTGAACTAGGGGAGGGCGGCTGGGGGGAGGGGGGCAAAGGGAGAAAAATTGGAACAACCGTAATAGCCTAACCAATAAAATAACCTTTAAAAAAATTGGATATACTGTCAGTACTGCACCTTAATGCATGCAGACCCAATTTGTCTCCTTTTTTTACAAAGCCTAGAAAAAAGAACCCTCAGATGCAAACAGAGACTGTTTTATGGCCGGTTATTTTCTTCCCTGAGTGTGTAGTACATCTATAAATAGAAATACAAACACTTTGAAAACATTGATCATTAGAAATTTACCCATTTATTTTTTCCTGCACTATTTATCTCTTGCCATTTTGATATTACTTGAATATTCTTTCTTTCTCTCTATTTGCAGGTTTTCAAGAAAATATGTTAAATTTAAAAGAGCTGACGGGCCCATAAATGAAAGCTATCAGTTATTCTTTCCCATCCTTCCGAATCAAGAGCTGTATAACTTTACTTTGAGTGCTAGCAATCCTCTGGGCCGGTCGAAAGCAAGCGTTCTCATAAACGTGACTGAAAGAGGTGAGCCGTCGCGCGAACCAGCGTCTTAGAAGTTGCTGTGGAGGCGGTGCAATGCCTTGAGATTCATGAAGAGTGCACCTGGGGATTACTTTTCCCTGATTATTTTCTTTATAATTGCCCAATATTAATGTTACACATATTATGTTAAAAGCTTTTAAATGTGTAATTGAATTTCAGGTTTCACCATTTTATTGAATCCAAGTAAATTTTTGCAACACTTCATTTACATAGAAAGTGTCAGTGGGTTTTAAAGACATTTTATTTTCAAATAATTGTAGGTGGTAGCAAAAAATAACAAACGAGAGCCCCATGGCCACTTCCCCTGGCTCTCCCCAGACTGGGCCGCTGCCCTTGGGCAGTGCCGTGGACCGCGCTGCCGGCCTTGCTCAGCGCTCACCAGTTTTCATGTGCGTTCAGTTGTGTGGGTGTTGTGTACGCGTATGCGCGTAGGTCTGTGCAGTCGGATTTATGTAAAGATTCAAGGAACCCACACTCTCAGGATCCAGAAGTGTTCTACCACTGCACCCCCCACGCACTTTCACCTCCCTGTCCTCAGACACCAACAGATCTGCTCTTCATCTTCGTCTCTGTTTTGCCATTTTGAGAACGATACGTAAATGGAACCCTACAGGGTATAACCTTTGGAGGCTAGCATTTTTTAGTAAAGGTAATAACCTTTAGATCCGTCCAAGTTCTATCGGCCAATAAATAGTTCAGTCCTTTTTATTGCTGATGACTTTTTGTTGTTTTACCAGTCTTATGAATAGGTAGCTTAAAACAGACGTACAGCATGACACGCCATTTTGGCCTCCACACCCGTGGTCACCCCACGGGCGTCAGCTCCTTGCCAGGCTCAGCAACACAGGAGACTCCCAGTCCAGACAGACAGGCCTAAACCAAACGCACCCCGATGTAGCCTGGCTGCGCTTGTTAAACATCAACCACTTCTATCAATTATTTATTCCTGTCATCTTTGTTATGTCCTTATTTCACCTAAGGGCAGAGAGGCTACATTTTTTATTTATTTGAGTGGTGGTGTTTGTATGGATTTATCTGCCCTCTGCCATTTCAGCTTCACTTACTGCACGACGCCCCCCCTACCCTGCCCCCCACCCCGGATGGGTCTGTGCATTACCGCCGGTGTAACATGTACGTTGCCTCGCTGTGCCAAGACCCCAACTTGAAATGCCTTTCTGCATTCATTTTGCCAACTTTAGTCTGATTCTCCTTCCAAAGCCCATCCTGAGTCCCATCTTTACTACAGGATCCTCCTTACCATGTTTACATCTGAATTCCTCTAGCACTTCATATGTGTGTGCCACACGTTTTGAACTTAGCATCTCTATACTCTGGCTAATTTTCTTTCCTTTTGCATGTCATTCCCCAAGTAAATTAGGGGTTCCTTGTAGGTAGAAACTATGTTCTCACTCCCGTTGAGTTAATATTCCTGTCACCGGTTAAGGAACCTTGAACATGATTGGTTCTTAAAAAATGTTGCCTCTTGTCAGCTCTAAAGAGAGGTTTGTGTATTCCACAGACACTGAGTAGAATATTGTTGGTGAACGCTAACAATAACTCTCATGTAGTTTGTTGTCTTTGATTCTCATTTGTCTTTTAGAAAAATAGCTTTTAAAGTAATTGATCTTTAAAAATTGTATTTACAGTTTATCCCCATACCCCTACTTCAGTCAGAGTGAAAGATATTAATGCCACAGCTGTTACACTTTCCTGGCATTTACCAGGCAGCTTTGCAACGATTAAGCTGTTGTGTCAGGTTGAAATCAACAAAGCAAATTCTGTACAAGAAGTGGTGAGTAAGATTCTTCTGTAAACTTCCTTAGAGGTTGTTTTTAGATAAAATGCTTAGTTTCCAAAAGAGCTAAGTAAATTTAAGTGCATAAGCTCTATTTATTATAGAGATTGACTAAGAACCAAGATATTATACATGAATGTAATAACAGCATTGTATTTAGCACTTAAAGACAATTATAATCCTGGCTATTATAGAATGTAAGTTTGACTTTTACTACTCAGATTGTTTCCAGGTCTGGTGGTGTACCTGGCATGTAGCTGGTGCTCAATAAATTTGCGAAGTAATGAGTAGTTTTCTGTAACCTTTAGCATTAGATAATGGACTCATTGGCACTGGAGAGAAGATGTGATTTTTAAAATTGCTAAGCGCAGCTACAGGAGCAAGTTATAATTGGTTATTAGAAGTCAAAACATGACTTTTAATACATTTTAAATACTTAGGGTGACTTTTATACTGCACCATCTTGTAATTTGTGGTAAGTCCAAAATAAATGATACCATACTTAAATATTCATTTGGAAACTTCCTGGTGATTTCTAGAATATCAGTCACCCTGCAAAACGTAGCTCCCAGAGCTCCTGCGTAAGAAGTAATCGGGAGCTCGGAGGCTTCCCCGAGGTGTGCGGATCCTCAAATTCGTTTTACGTTGCCTCATTTTAATTTTACTTAGCTTAAGTATTTGTTGAGTAGTCCATGTTTAGCACCAAACAAGAGGCACTGAGCGCCATGTGAGGGCCAAGATGACATGCCCCTGGTGAGCTTCCGGACAGCCTCGGAGTGACCCGGCGCCTGCCGGCCGCCTCAGAGCGCTCAGCGTAGTGGGGGTGTCACCGCGCTGTTAGCCACCGAGCGACTGCCCAATTTATAGTCTCCTCTGCATAATTTTATCGACCATTATTAATTCAGTAGTGGAATTAAAAGGACACCTCAGTTTTGCTTCTTGCCATTGCAGAGCACACTGTCACGGACTTCTAATTCTTATATAAATGCCGATATCATAGGGGATGAACTGCCTTTGATCTTACAGAGGCAAGCTCATGTGGACATTCAGTCACTTTGTTACAAATTTGGGAGGATTTCTTATTTTAAAAAGGTATGTGTGTATATATATGTTCTCATACACACATGACATTTCATGTGCACACATTAATTTTGTTTCCTAACAGCGGAATGTCACAATTAAAGGACTGGACACTTCAAATTATGTCACTTCTGTGGACAAGTTAAATCCATTTACTGTGTATACTCTTCGGATCCGCTGTTCTAGTGAAACTTTCTGGAAATGGAGCAAGTGGAGCAATGAAAAGGAGTATTTAACCACAGAAGCCAGTAAGTTAACTAAATGATTTACGGTTAATTATGACTATGGATCTTGGAATTCTACAACTATCTTTAAAGACAATCTCACTGAGTGACTAAAAACAGGAGAATGCTTAGATAAATTGTATAATTACACACTATATGCTAGTAACATTATTATACAGACATTTTAAGTGATGGCTTTTAAAGTTTCGTGAGAATATGGAAAATGCTTGGCACATGCTGTGTGAAAGGAGTAGGCTGCCTGCGTACAGTGTGATCACAGCGACGTTACAAAGGATGCACAGGAAACTGAACTTGGAACCGTGACAAGGTGTTGGGGTTCCATTCTGCCCTCCTTTTCCTGGACTTTTCATAGTCTGTTTAGATTGCCTTTTCATTCAAAATGAATGTGGTGGAATTTTTAGTTCTGACCTAAGGCTGAGCAAGGGAAGGGGCTAAGGTCTTGAACTTGAGTTTCTGCAGTGTGCCTAGATCAGAATAGCCATTAAATCGGGTAACTGGTTTTCTGAGTATAATTTCCAAAGACAGAATTAAGATTCTACCCTTGATTAATCAGACGCCAGCTTTAAAACAAAGAATAGAAATAGGTGTGATTTTCTGGAATCATTCACCAAAACATAGCAAATTCTTTATTTGCACTATGTAATATGAGGAATATAAAACTTCTGCCCCCAAATTTAACAAACAGTAAAATAAAAAGTGGTGATCCCTGTTAATCTGGATTTTTGCCTCTCCCTACAAAGACTGGAGAGAGGAGAGGAGGTTGGCAATATGTGTAAGAAGTGCTTGGATTGTCCAGTGTGAATCCTATGCATGAGTCCAGAGAAAGAGTGTGTTATCTGTTGCTATGTGACCAATTACCCCAAAACTCAGTGCCTTAAAACAGCAAGCGTTTATTATCTCACAGTGTCCGTGCGTCAGAAACACAGGAGCAGTTCAGTGGTGTGGCTCTGGCTTAGAGCCTCTCCTGCGGCCAGTCACCGTGGGGCGGGGCTGCAGGCCTTGCCTGGGACCGGAGGTCCTGCGTCGGAGGGTGGGGGGTGGTCCCCTCCCACGGCTGCTGGAGTGCCCTCCGAACGTGGCAGCCGGCCCCTCCTGGACTCGGTGACCATAGAACAGGGCGGCCTCCACTATGGCTTTCATGACCTGGCCTCCGAAGGGACACGCCTGCATGTCGGCCAGACCCCGCTGGTCACACCAGCCAGCCTGACACGGTGTGGGAGACGCCACACAAGGGCAGGCGCTTCAGGAGGCGTGTTCAGTGTCACTGGTCATTTTGGGGACTTGCCACCACAGGCGCTTGCCCTTCGTTGATGAGCTGTCCCAGCCAAAAGGAAAGGGACATTTTGTTTACACTCCATTAAGGTTAAGGCATTCATCACTTAACAAATCACTTGACGCTCATTGAGTGCCCGCCCTCTGTCAGACGTTGCTCTGGTTACCAGGGACATAGCAGTGAATAGAACAGCCACCTCTGCCCGTGGAGTTTATAGGCGGGAGGATAGAAAGTGATCACGGTTATTGTATTTAGTATGTCAGGTAGCAGTGAGTGCCACAGAGGAAAACGGACCCTGGAAAGGGGGCTGGGGAGTGGACGCCGGCGCCGGGGCCCGGGGGTGGGGGCGGGGTGGGGGAGGCGAGGGGAGCTGCAGTTCTCATCAGGCTGGCTGGGCAGGACCTCCCACGCGAGGCAGACGGATGAGCCCGGCCATCAGGGAGGCGAGGAAGGGGCTGGGCGGTTTATTCAGGGGGAGAGTTCTGGGCGCAGGAAGTGCTGTGAGAAACAGCCAGGAGGCCCTCGTGTGGCCCAGGCTGACTCGGGGAGAGAGCGGGGGCGGGGGGGGGGCCTGGGACCCTTTAGTGAGAGCCCTGAGGGTGATTTTAACCCATTCTTTGGGGTCTTGTGTTTTGCAGACACTGAGAGCTTTTCCTTTGTTTTCTAAGTGGAAGCCACTAAGTGCTTCCCATTTTTATTGAGAATTCCAAAAACCTAACAAAAAATTTTCAAGCACCACCATCTCAGTGATTGACATTATCACCTGACATAGCACACACCTTCGCATACTAACTTTTATCTCTCTGCCCTAGTTCCTTCAAAGGGACCAGACACTTGGAGAGAGTGGCGTTCCGATGGGAAAAACTTAGTAATCTACTGGAAGGTAAATGTCTAATGTTTGCTTGAATGCTGAGATGACCTGATTTTGGTAGAACCACCCAGCTTTCTGGGGGCACTTGGGTTGTGACGGAGCCAGGGCTTCTGGATTTGTTGCAGAATTGCTGAGCATGTGACCTGGCTCCAGACCCCTGAGCATGTGACCCCCAGGCCCCTCCAAAAGGCGGCCGTGCCACAGGCTCTTAGCGAGCGTCGTCTGGGCCTCAGCGCTCTGTGTTCCGATTTTACGAGGCCTCTAGAGGACCTGAGGTTTCATGGACTCAGTCCCCCGTACTTTAGGCAGAAACACAGCCGGAAGCTGCAGGTTAGAATCCTGACATTTTATGTTCCATTTTTTTTGTCCTTTGATGAATAGGAAACCAGCTTTTTCTATATTTTATGTGTAATTTGTTTCCCTTAAATAAATTGTATTATACAACACAATGATAGTTTTGTAAAATTTTAGAAAATGCTGAGTCACACTGTGTCTAATGTTTTTTCCCTAGTAGAGCAAACATTTTTGTTGCCCTATTTTTTATCTGATTTAGGAACATTAAAAACGCAAAGAATTGTTTTCTACCTTAGATTTCATAAGAGCGGTCATAATCAGATTCATTTAAATGGTGAATTTTGTTATTGAAAGTAAACAATATTATTTTTACAAAAATTTGACATCAGTACAGCTTTGGGTCAAGTGAAATCTAAGGGCATGTTACATAGACTTTCCCTTGCTTTGAGATCATCTGCCGGGGACGCTTGCCTCTCTTCTTAATTAGAAGCGCCCCCACCCGCCCCCGCCCCGGCCACCCTCACTTGTCTGTCAGATTTCTCAATAACATAGTAATGATTATACAGATTACTTCAGTGTGGAAGAAGTTTGGAATATCGTTCAGACTCGATGACTGTATAACCAAGGATTGAAAATATTGAAGTGATTCAGAGTTTAACTGCAGTCACAAGGTTAATTAGTTCTGCCATATTTGGGTAGAAAATTAAGTTGTTTTGGACGTGTGGAGGTTTTTAAACATATGTTACTGGGGTGTCCGAGGAAAGTGCAGTCGTTGGTGGTTTGAATAAAGGGTCCCGGAGCCCAGGAGAGAGATCGGAGCCAGAGACAAAGCTTTGAGTCGCATGCAGGGTGGGACAGGAGTAGGATTACAGTGGTTTGTGTAGGAAATAATGCAGCAGTTAATAAGCAGTAACACAAGGATGGACTCTGGGCACTCCCGACTGTAAGCTGGCTTTTGCCCGCCCGCATGTAAATGGATCCCTAGGCCCGCCCTGGCCTAGGAGATGGCCTCGTATAAAGGGCCCGCATGGGAGGAGGGGCCAGTGGACAAGACCGGGAAGGTCTGAAGGCCCCATGACCAGAGGAAAATAACACAAATTTTCTGTAATGAGCATGTACTGTTTTAAAATGAGAACACAGTAAATGTTTTAAAAAACTATGATGCCATACTTTTTCATGTTTTGTGTTTAGAGGACTGCTTCTCGTAACTTTTTTTGGTTTGCTTCTGGAAAATGTGAGGCTAAGTGTGGTTTTTTTATTGACTGTTTATATTTTTGTGTGATGGTGCTGCTCGCGGCGTGTATCGCTCTTCCTCGGTGTCCCCCCCCCCCCCCGATTTGCCCAGGTCTCTGTGGGTCTCCGGGGGTGGTGGACAGCTTCGTCTCTTCTGATGGTACCTTTGTGGCAAGCGGCGTGTCCGGTTTAGACTTGATGGCCTTGCCTCATTCACATGGCCACTTGTGCAGGGTTTCAGATAACAGAGTTTTATCTTTCTCTTTTTCATAGCCTTTACCCATCAATGAAGCTAATGGAAAAATCCTCTTCTATAATGTATCCTGTTCATCAGACGAGAAAACACAGTCCCTCTCTGAGATCCCCGACCCTCAGCACAAGGCAGAGATACAACTTGATAAGAATGACTACATTATTAGTGTGGTGGCAAAGAACTCTGCCGGCTCTTCACCGCCGTCTAAAATAGCCAGCATGGAGATTCCGAACAGTGAGTAGTTGCGATGCTGCGATGCAGGAGGGCAGGGAATTAGAGGGAAATATTCTGGAGGTGTTGTGTGCTCTTGTGCGCCTGGGCTTCCTTCTCTTGTTGTCCCGCTGCTGCTGCTGACATAGAAGGAGGAGCAGACGGGTGGACAGCAGATGCTCGCGGAGACAGCGGTCATGGGCCTTGACTTGCAGCGTCTGCCCTAGTGGGTGAGATGGTCACTGTACCCGTTACTCTAATGCATAGTGTTGGGGGGGGCTCTGGTGGTGGGTGTCACTCTTAGGGAGAAATGTTTTAACAGTTTATACAGATACTGTGTTCATCTGTCTTCCCCAACGCCATGCGAGTCGATTCCTAGGTCAGCTAGGCTGTGTTCAACCTGTCAGGCAGGAAAGGCACTTAGTTTAAAAGGCGGCTTTGTTGATAGGACATTCTTTTAATAGGAATCCTTTATTGATAAGAAAGTCTTCTTAAAGTCTTCTTAAAGTCTTCTTAAAGATTGGTCCATGTGGGGTCCTCGGAGTATCTTTCCACTTCTTGCCTGAGGCGGTCTTACTGCCTGTTACTGAACTGGCTCTTTGTCTCAGTGGGACATGGTGGAACCAGAAGGGAACGGAGAGCGCAGCACGTTTCAGAGACACAGCGCACCAGCCAGAGCCCCGTACTGGTGCCCACCCAGCTGTATGTCCCCGTACCGGTGCCCGCCCGGCCGTACGCACCAGCCAGAGCCCCGTACCGGTGCCCACCCAGCTGTATGTCCCCGTACCGGTGCCCGCCCGGCCATACACACCAGCCAGAGCCCCGTACCGGTGCCCACCCAGCTGTATGTCCCCGTACCGGTGCCCGCCCGGCCATACACACCAGCCAGGGCCTGGTACCAGTGCACAGTTCGTTGTACATACCAGCGAGGGTGCAGGGGAAAAAATGTGTGTGAACAGCCCCAAAGCAAATAACCACTGACTTAATGGGTTGGCCAAAAAGTTTATTTTTTTTCTGTGAGGTGGCTCTAGTAGCACTTAGTTGTCTTTTAACTTCATTCAAAACAATTTTGTTATATTGTATTATGATAGCTGTCATATCAATGTGCATTTTAAAAATATCAAAATTGGTGAATTTTTGTGTGGCCATTTTATTTTAAAGACTGAAGAAAATATGCAACATTTTCAGCATATTATGCTTCATTATTTCAAGAAAAGTAAAAGTACAACTGAAATGCAAAAAAAGATTTGTGTCGTGTATGACGAAAGTGCTCTGACTGGACTTTCAAAAGTGGTTTGTGAAGTTTTGTCCTGGGGATTTCTCTCTGGACAATGCTCCGTGGTCAGCTAGACCAGTTGAAGTCGATAGGGATCTAATGAAGACGTTAACTGAGAACAGTCAACATTCTACCACATGGGAGATGGCCGACATACTCAAAATATCCAAATCAATAAAGTGATCGGTGACAGTGAAAAATGTCTTTTGTTTTACAGAAAAAACTAAATGGACTTTTTGGCCAACCCAATGGGTATTTCATTGCAGTCAGTGACAGGCAATAGCTGTGTTATCTTCTTTTTTATAAGATTTTATTTATTTTTAGAGAGAGGGGAAGGGAGGGGGGAAGAGGAGGAGAGAACCGTGATTGTGAGAGAGAAACATCAATCGGCTGCCTCCCACACCCAGCCCGACCGGGGGCTGGACTGATAGCCCAGGCATGTGTCCTGACCAGGAATCAAACCTGCGACCTGTTACAGGACAACACCCAACAGGATGAGCAACACCGGTCAGAGAAGCTGAGCTGCATTTTCTTTGAACTCAAGAACTATATTTTTTACCTTTTCCATGTGTCACACAGAAGATAGTAATTTACAGAACTGACAGCAGCTTAGTCATTAGTTTTTATTACTGGAGTTGCAGAAGAAGCCATTGTTCCGGGAGGACCTCCCGAGGTGGATGCCTTGCAGGCTCAGCATGTGTTCACATTATGGCTTTTTGATCACATTGAGCCAAAACCCTGTTACATCCAAAGTCATCCTTATTCTAAGCCAAACTGTTGTCTTCTGTTCAGTAGGGGTTGCTTTATGAATGCAGTTTTTGTTCAAGAAGTCGTTCTTTGGCTTTTTACTAAACTCTGAAGCAGGCATCAGTTGTAGAAACCACAGCCAGTCCTCAGCGTGTGTGGGGGTGGTTCCAGGACACCAAAGTCTGCGCATGCGTGAGTTGCTTGTAGGTAACGGCATGGAACAGGGCGACCAGGCACGTCTGCGGGGTCAGCCTCCGATCAGACTTACTCTCGCTATTGGTTGGGTCAGCAGATAAAAAACCCACGGACATGGTGGGCCGACTGTACTTCTCCTGTTTCTGTGCAAATGATTTCTCCCTTTGGGCCGTGCTGCCCTAACCCATGCTAATTTCTCACCCCCCACCTTGTGCCGCCTCTGTCACCTCAGTGAGACCTGACGTGACCTCAGGACCTCAGTCGGCCCCCTTCCTTCCCACCAGTCCCTGCGCCTCCCCGTCTGTCCCCATGGGCCCTGTTCACACTGGCTACTCTCTTGCACAGCTTCTCATCCCAAACTGTTTGAGCAGATCCCCTCTCTCCTGCCTTGGCTCCGGAATCCCCGCAGCCCACGTGGGAGGAGACAGGATTCCAGGCACAGGGGAGGGGCTGCTGCAGCCACCCGCCACCTCGGCCACGGAGCTCCTGCTCTGCCGGACGGCCCTGCCGCCCCGGGGCCCACACCCACGGTGGGGACAAGAGGAGGGACGCAGACCATCCCCTGGAGCTCTGCCCAGCTCCGGGCGGCCACGCCCCCTTTGGTGCCCTTGTGCCATCTGCTGGGGCCTTCCTGGCTCTTGATCTTTGTGTCTCGGCCCCACCCGATCCTACATGCTGCTTTATCGCTTTGTTTCAGCTGCTGAGTTGATCTTGTAGGTACAGGTAATTGCTATAGTTACAGCAGGAATAACAGAGCAATACTTCTAAACTTCACTGAAGGTTTATCTGGTTTGAGCACTCTTAACGTTTACATACAGGGAAGTGATTTGTAAATTCTTGCCTGTCTTCATGAGGTTTACCCTACATTACTATGTTTAACATCAAAGTGTCCTTCTTTCTTGTAGAAGAGGATCTGAAAACGGAGCAGGTTGTTGGAATGGGAAGAGGGATTCTCCTCACGTGGAATTACGATCCCAACATGACTTGCGACTATGTCATCAAGTGGTGTAACTCGTCGCAGCTGGAGCCCTGCCTTATGGACTGGAAGAAAGTCCCTGCAAACAGCACTGAGACTGTCATAGAATCCGGTACGTGTTTCTCACGGTGCTTCAAATGCATTCTTCAAAAGAGCAGCACATGGGGCGACTGGTTGCAGGGAAGCAACCGTTCTCCCGGACCACCGGCCGGGCGTGGCTTGGCCTCGCTTTTCTGGAAAGTGGTTTGGGGCACAATGTATGTGAAGGGATTCCGATCCCCTGACTCTAGTTGCTTGTCCAGGAATTTATTCTAAGAAATAATGCGAGAGCAACACAGATTCCCATCTAAGAATGTCCACCACAGCATCATGTACAGTCATAAAAATTGAAAACAGCCAAAAAAGCACGTGGGAGAATGGGCAGATGAGGGCACTTCCAGGAAATCGAGGGTTAGGCGGCTTGCGAGTGGCAGGTGGCGCCGCAGGGCGGCGCCCCTGAGGAAGGTGCAGCACTGTGAGGAGGGTGGTCTCCTGCGGCGCCCTGCTGCCCGCGGGAATCCTGGGCCCCGTGACCGTGACCGAGGCCGGAGAGGCCGCGCACGGAGGGCCTGCGCCTGCAGTGCCGCTTGGCCCCAGGGAGATCCAGGGCGTGGGCCTGGCAGGGAGCCCTGAGCGGCCCTTGACCCCGTGCAGCCTGATTCAGCCCCAGGGGCACCTGGTAGCCGCAGGCCCGACCAGCCTTTTGCGTGGGAGTCAGCGCCCTCTTGCTGCGGTCTCTGCTCCTTCTGAGCAGCTGGCCATTGCATCTCCCGCTGTGGGGATTCCGGAACCGGCAGCCTGTGGCAATGGCATCCTTCTACCCCCCCGCCGCCCACCACGGCTGTCCCCCCCCATGTTAGTGGGGTTCAGCAGAGCAGGCAGTGCCGAATTTTCTGTCCGCGCTCCCTTTTTCACTGTTGAATGATGAGGATGCGTCCCCTTCATTAGGTGACAATTAGGTGGGGTCTGATTATGCGCCCTTTGGACTTGGAACTCAGCCAAGCTACCCCCATGCAGAGCAGGCCGGTGGTGAGGACAGCCCCTTTGATTCCTTCTCCCCGCGCACCGCCCTCCCCAGCGTGCCCACGCACCCACCCCGCTCTTCCCTTGCATTTCCCCGCGGGGAGCTCCCCGGCCTCGCACTGGTCCAGTGCACCCTGTACACTTTCTGGGTCCTCCTTCCTCCCTCTTCACTGGGCTTTGAGCATCGCGAGATGGAAGGGGGCAGGGCGGAGCCGCGCAGAGAGGCACCGCCTGAGAGGCGGTGTCCCCGTGTGAGGCTAGGCTGGCACCTGTGGGGTGAAAAGGGGAGAATGTTCCATCCACGAGACGGGTGTACAAAGGCCTTGCAGGGCTGAGTAAAGTTAGGGGACTTCCCCGAGGTCACAAAGCCAGTGTGTGCTGGCAGCGGGACTCAAATTCAAAGCTTCAAGAAGCCGGGATTTTGTCTTCCATTTCCTGCTGCCAGAACAATGCTCGGCTGTGCAGGTACTTTTCCTCTTTTTTCCCACCCGGTCATCTACTCTCACCTCTCTTCCTGTTCAGGACCACAGAACATGCACCTAATGCTCTGACCCATTCAGGCGCTTTTTCTTTTTAGGTATCAGAATCCTATTCCCTACTGATAACACATAATTGGAACATCAAACTGGGTACAGATTTACTAATTTACGTGCAGTTTACAATCACAGCCTCGCCCTGTGCCGGTGGCCCAGTCAGTTGGAGCCTGGTCCCATACCCCAAAAGGCTGCAGGTTCGATCCCAGGCGGGGCACATACGGGATCAGTGTTTCTCTCTCATATCAATGTCCCTCTCTCTCCCCACTCCCCTCCCTTCCTCTCTCTCTAAAATCAATGAACATGTTCTCGGGTGAGGATAAAAAAATAAAAAATATAATTGAAAAAATCATAACTTCGAGTGTCCTGCCTCCAAAGAAAAAAGTTACAAAGTGGCATTTGTAGGTGACCGTCCCACTGTGGAGCCCGTGACCTGCTGTGCTCTGGGCACAGAGCAGGAGAGCCAACGCTTTACCCACTATGGAAAAGTCACATTCCACAAATTAAATGCAAACCGCACACAGATGTTCTCCCCCCAAGCACAATCTTCTTCTTGGGCCAACACTCATGAGCTCCTGATGGCCCTTCAAGTGTCACTTCTTGGCGGCGTTTTCCCTCCGTGAAGGGGCCACAGCCCACGACAGGTCCCTCCAGTCCAGCACAGTGTGTTCCGATTCCCCCCTTCGCCTGTCCCCTCACCTGTCTCCAGCCTCCCCGGGCCAGGGCAGTGTTCTGTCCCTCCCTGCGTTCCCGCCCCTCCCACCCGTCATCGTGCTGAGGGGGGAGTTTTAAAGGGGCTCCTTGAAGTGCAGTAAGGGTGATTCTCTTGTCAGGAGTTGACTCACGGGTGCTGAGCGGTAATGCCATAAAGAGGAACAGACTCTAAAGCCTGGTTCCGTCCACGCTGAAGCGTCAGAACGCAGTGGAAATTGTAGTGCCTGCTGCTTGGCTCGGGGAGAGAGCCGTGCGGCTTCCACCCTGAGGACTGACGCTGGGTAGGGGGCTTTTCAGGGTGCGATGCCGCCCTGGCCCTGGATGGAGGTATCATTGCTTGTTTCAAGGAACGGAATCAAAGCCTCAATCACAATTTTCCCCTTCTTCACAGTGATGCCATGTTAAAATGCTAAACTTTTCATGACAGTAAAAGTGAATTTGGTTTCAGCAACTTTCACTTGGAATATTTATCAATTTTGAAAATATAGATGTATTTTTTGTAAGAAAACATCTGTTTAAAATTAGCTTTAACAAGTTTTGAGTAAGTTATTATAAATTTGATATTTCTGAAATAGATATTCTTAGTGATGTGCACTTATGAGAGTTTACTGATTGTGTCCATCCTATAGATCAATTTCAACCAGGTGTAAGATACAGTTTCTTTCTGTATGGGTGCAGAAATCAAGGATATCAACTGTTACGTTCTGTAATTGGATACATAGAAGAATTGGGTAAGTTCAATGGGTAAGTTTTCTTAGAGTTCAAGGTAACAGAAGAAATTATAGACTGTGACAGCGTTGGATTCTAAAAGTAGATTAAATTGGGATGTTTAGTTCAAGGAAGGAAAAATAATTTGATAAATTCAATATTCTTTGTGATTACACATTCTTCATTTGTTTAATGTTTATATTTCACAAATATATTGTCACTGAAAAAAAAATCCTTGATTTGGATGTCAAAAAAACTTAATTTGCACTTATAAAAATTTAAGCAACTATTAACTTATTCCAGATTATCAATGAAGAGAGCAAATACAAATGAATAGCCACTTAAAGGTTTTGCATAGATTGGTAAGTTCTACCTCTGGTACGAGCTTCACAGCAGAGGTGTTTATAGTAATATCTGTGAAAGTTTATGATTAAACAAAAAATAAAGTTTTAATTCCAAGGTAGCTATTTTGGGGGCTAGAACCTCACGAACCATCGATGTCTGACTCCGCGCTGGTCAACTCCCCTTCAGCTGTCGGCGTTTTCCTTTCACAGCTCCAACTGTTGCCCCAAATTTTACTGTTGAGGATACGTCTGCGGATTCAATATTAGTGAAATGGGAAGATATTCCTGTGGAAGAGCTGAGAGGCTTCTTAAAAGGCTATTTATTTTACTTTGAAAAAGGAGAGAGAGATACATCTAAGATGCGGGGTTTGGAATCAGGTGAGTTACTTCCTAGAGTGAGTCTAGTGCTTCCTAGAAGTTCTGGGTTAATTACAAAAAAGTAAAGAAAGTGCTGCTCATTACTTTACTACTGGTTTCCAAAACTGCCTGAAAAATAGGGAAATGAAAATGCAGTCATTTTACGAACATGAGAATTTTAAGATTTTAAGTACATGGTAAATGAAGGGCAGTCTTTCAGAAGTTATTGAAATTATTTACTCCGAAGCCTGTGGTTCTAAGCCCCACAGACAGAGACCACCTCTTGCCAGTCTGGCATGCTCCATACGTAGCATCTGGTGAAGGCTGCTTTAAACACAGAGCCTTCCCATCCTCTTAACAACGGAGAAACCCCAGGCACCCAGGGAGCGGCTTTGGGGCCTCCCCTGTCACCTGGCAAAACGCCCCCCGCACGGTGAGCCACAGCCTGGATGGGCTGAGACGCTTAATTGACGCAGCTGGGGACGAGTGTAGCCCTTAGATCCTAGAAGGTACAGCCAGTCCTGGACAACTTTGGGTAAGTGTATGCCCAAAGAATTTAGAGTGTTCTCCAGTTTACAAATACAGAAACGTTCATGCAGCCTTCTGGCCTTTCCCTAAATGATATTTCTGTTGGAGTCAGATGTTTCTTATCTGTAGCCACGGAACACAAGAGTATCATCCTACCAGTTTGAGAGCTTGTGGCTCCCTTAATGACCTCTCCTCGGAACGAAACCACTGTCACAACTTAATGCCAGTCTGACAAGCACAGGATGCATCACTGCGTGGAGATGCTGATGAGCATGAATTAAGCCGCCTTCTGAAAGCGGCCGCGTTAAATGTGCACCTCCCCCAGATCAGTAGAATCTTCAGAGTGGCCTGGGAAGGAGGGAAGCCCTAACTATCCCAATTCTGCAACCATCCAGAGTCTAGTGTAATTTTCCTCAAGTACTAGGAAATGTTACACTTGACTCACTTAAAATTCTAGCATCTAGACTTTCAGTGAGACATGGTGGATTGATCACTAAAATTAGAGTAAAGAAAAAAAACATGCCGAAAGCCCCCTGGGATAATAAGGTTCTGATATTCTGTTGCATAGTAGTTGTAGACACTCAGGCTTAGGGAGGCTTAACTAAAAGGTCCAGCTCACATGGCTCCTCAGTGGCAGAGCCGGCACGGGACTGGGGCACTGGCCGGCCCCACAGGCCTCAGGGACGTGGGGTGACTGCCACGGGTAACTGTGTGTTTAAGTCGTAGCCTTCAGTGATAACGGTGCTCCTCACTGTAAAAACAGGCCGTTCCGACGTGAAAGTTAAGAACATCACGGATGTATCCCAGAAGACCCTGAGAATCGCCGACCTTCAGGGTAAAACGAGTTACCACCTCGTCCTGCGCGCCTACACGAATGGGGGCCCGGGCCCGGAGAAGAGCATGTTTGTGGTGACCAAGGAAAACTGTGAGTCACATGTCCCCACGGAGGTGCCTCCCGTGCCGAAGCGCACGGCTTTCCCAGCCGTTTTCATTTATGTAGGGACCCCCTTTTCTGGGTTTCATGTTGTGTTGCTTTTGTATAGTGGGTATAAGGCAGTGTTAAAAGGCCATAAGATGACTTCTTACTTATTCTTGTGAGTTATTCGTAGCTATTTTCTAATCAAGTACCTGAGAAATTAGTGAATTAAGGATACATCTGAAGTCTAGAGTTCTAAATGCATGTGCAATGTACATAATGGCCAACCAGTTTAAAATGTTTTGCCCTAACTATTCTGTGGTTTTTAACGTATCCAGGGAAGAGTGAAAGAAATATATAAAAAAAAAAAATGTGTTAAGCGCAACTTGTGAATTCGAGATGGAAAGTAAGGAAGAACGGTGGGCTTGACGCTCTCGGCAGCAGCGAAGGGCTTCACTTTGTTCCCTCTGAGCTGGAGTCCACGCACGCTCTTCCGTAAACGACCGAGATGATAGACTTCCTCACTGGGTGCGGGGGACGTTGCCCCCTTGGGGACACCTGGCAATATCTGGTGACACTTCCCGTTGTCATAATGGCAGGTGCTGCTGGGATCTAATGGTTAGGACCTCAGGGATGCTGTTGAGCTTCGTACACTGTGCACGACAGCCTCCCCCGACACACACTGGCACCGAAGACGTACCTGGCCCACAGCGTCGGTGGTGCTGACTGCAAAACCTGCGCCAGCGGCTTTAAGTGCTAGTATAAAAGTTGTTAAAATACTTGAAGGTTTTCCTTCAACAGGTTTTCAGTGTCCCTGGAGCAGTTAGGGTTGTTTTCTTCTCATCCACCAACTTAAACATTTTCTAATGTAAATGTCCTCCGCACTTCCTCCTGAACGTGGCGGTTTTAATCGTTGCACTGCTCTCATTTCAGCCGTGGGGTTAATCATCGCCATTCTCATCCCCGTGGCCGTGGCCGTCCTTGTGGGAGTGGTGACGAGCGTCCTCTGCTACCGGAAGCGAGAATGGTAATGGCGCCTGCGTTTACGCTCGCGGCTTTCCTCTTACGGGAATGGTGGTTTAGTTTATGGTTAACAGATAAGTACATTTTTTTGGTTGAAGGTAGTTAGTAAAAAAAATATATATATATATATATTTGTTTTAATCAGAATTAATGTTGGATTTAATGCCAGGCAAGAACATGGCATATTAGTTAAAGGTTTAAAAATTAATACAGCAAAAGTATAAATATTTTCTGTACTGTATTTCCTAACAATTTAAAGTACTAGCAGTTGTACTCAAAAAATATTTGCCAGCTTAAATACGACAGTAGCTTTATACAGGATTAAGGGTAGTTTAATGATTAATGTCTCAGTGCTCTCAGTGCCCTATTTAGAAAATCTGGTCACTTATTCATTTAGTCAGCAGACATGAAGGACTTCTCTCAGGTGAGGAGGGATATGTATATAGTGATAAAGCAAGCCTGCTCCTGACACACTCACGGCGCAGCGGGGACCCTGAGCAGGAAGCCCATGACCCCCCCCCCCCCCCCCCCCCCAGTACGCACGTGCTCACGCAGTGGGAGCGGCCCTGGGCAGGGTCCCCAGCGCCGCCAGAGTGGCGGGAGAGTCCTGGCGCTGGGGCGGTCAGCTGAGGCCTCCCTGGGGCAGTCCCATCGAGCAGGGCCCCGGAGGGTAAGGAGAGGGCAAAGGCAGTCCCAGGCAGAGAAGGCGACTTTAGTGAGGACCCAGAAACTGGAAAGAAGCCGACCTTCTGGAGGAAGTGAGAAGCACTGAGTGTCCGGGTGAATGGCAGTAGGTGAGGCGAGGCGAGGCGAGGCTGGACAGAGGCCCCGGGGTCCGTGGGCAGGGCCTGCTGTGGGCGGGGCGGGGCACATGGCTGTGTTTACACGCAGACGGCCCTCACAGCCTCAGAAATACCACCTTCCGTGACAAAGACGAGAACATATTCTAGCAATCCTGGCTTAGAAATCAAAACAGTAATAATTGAGAACTTATAGGATTGCCTGTCTTGGTAACCATATTCTCATTACCCAAAATCACATGTTACAACTGGTTTTCATATAAAAAGTAAATATATAAAGTAAGGAGGGAGTTTGAAATTAGAGCACTTCAGATTATATTAACAAAGCTTTTTTTCTGCAGGAATTTTGAATAATGTTCTTTGGAATAGCTGTAAATATGGTGTGGCACTGAGCAAATCTCGTTCTTGTTTGTGTTTTGTTTTTGCTCAAGACGAATAGCCTTTTTCTAATAACCTAGCGCCTGATCCGAGCGGTAGCAAACTGCCCAATGGAAATACGCTCCCTGCGCTATCCATCATGCTTGGTGCAGCTTGCAGTACAGACGTTCTGTTTATATGAGCAAGGCCTGTATTTAACCTTTGACCTGATAGCACAATCACCATTTTAAGTCTTGCTTTCCATATACATAAGATACATAAGACATTGGAGTTCTAGAAATAAGAGTAGTGTTTATAACCTGTCAATACATTGTGTAGAATGTTCAAGTAAACGGTCCCACTAAAAATGATCTTGCATTTTTATCTACTGTTCATTTCAGTGTCCTTATGAAATGTGACAGCAAGCCTCGTGATTTATCAGCTGTTTGTTGTCTAACTGCTAATCTTATAATTATTAAATATACTTAATTATTCTTTATTGAAAGGATAAAAGAAACCTTCTATCCTGATATTCCAAACCCAGAAAATTGTAAAGCACTACAGTTTCAGAAGGGTGTCTGTGAGGTAATCCTTTATTTTATTTACATTTATGTTTGAAGTACTGGCTTTCCTTTTTTTGTTTCCCTGTGTGAAAAGTTAACATGCAAATGTCATGCACATTGAAAAAATAAAATGGCTCTAACATCTGCTGAACTTCTAAAATTATTAATTTAAATTATTTGTATCATGCTCTTTTCCCCACTGCTATTCATAGCAAGAGTAATACTGATATGTAGGGGGAAAACAGTAGTTTTGCTCTAGTATGCTGTATGGAACTGGGAGACAAATGTTTACAAGCAGACGTGAAAGAATAGGTAAAACAACGCCCCCTGGTGGTGGGGGGTCATTGCGGCGGCTCTGGTGCTCTCCCTAACCTCGGTCTTCACATTGATTTCTAGGGAAACAGTGCTCTTAAAACATTGGAAATGAATCCTTGTACCCCAAATAATGTCGAGGTTCTGGAAACTCGAGCAGCGTTTCCTAAAATAGAAGACACAGAAATAATTTCTCCGGTTGCCGAGCGTCCAGAAGAGAGCTCTGTGGCAGAACCCGAAAACCACGTGGTGGTGTCCTACTGCCCCCCTGTCATCGAGGAAGAGGTGCCGAACGCTGGCGTGGATGAAGCCGGGGGCACTTCCCAGGTCATTTACATCGATGTCCAGTCCATGTACCAGCCCCAAGCAAAGCCGGAGGAAGAGCCGGAAACCAGCCCTGGGCTGGTAGCAGGCTACAAGCCCCAGATGCACCTGCCCGTTCCCTCCGCTGCAGAAGACGCTGCTGCAGAAGACGATGTGGACAAAACTGCGGGTTACAGGCCACAAGCCAATGTACATGCGTGGAACTTAGTGTCTCCGGACTCTCCCAGGTCCACAGACAGCAACAGCGAGGTCGTGTCTTTTGGAAGCCCGTGCTCCATCAACTCCCGACAGTTTCTGATTCCTCCTAAGGATGAAGACTCTCCGAAATCTAATGGAGGAGGGTGGTCCTTTACAAACTTCTTTCAGAACAAACCAAATGATTAACAGCATCCCTTCCTTCTGCCGTCTCAGTAAGCTGTCATTGCCAGTGTTGCCGTGTGAGCACCGGGCGTCTTCGGGGGTGGGGGGGGAGGGCGGGATCCTGTGAGACGTTGCCAGCGAGGTGGACATCACTGTGTGCAAGTTACATGAAAAGTGTTCATGTGCTTTTAACGTAGTCTAAAAGCCAAAGTACAGTAACGCAGAAATTCAATCCACACAACTCGAGACTTGGAGCTTTTTGTGATTTGAGCCAAAGAATCCCCACGTTCTCCATCTTCGAGAAGCACTACGAGCCTGATACTTCTGGTCCCTATGTGCAAAACAGCCCCCCCGACCACTGTGTCACATTCTGTCGTGGTTTTCTCACGTGCGTACTTTATGGAATTGCAAGCAGATTGGCAGGCGAGGGAGAAAAAATGTCAAAGCAGCGGATGGTGTGGATTTGCCTGATGTTGGCTTCATTCTGGATAAAAACCAAGCACAGATTTGAAAACTTTTAACATTGTTCTCCTCTGTCCACAGCATTTACAAAAATTAATATAATTTTTAATGCAGCGACAGCTCTTTAGTGTTTCGCTTGGTGAGGTGTGCTGGCTTCTGTGCCTACTGTGCCGTGGTTGTCAAACAGTTCTCTCAGGGCTTCAGACTTGGAAAACGAGCACGACGCCGGGCAGCTCCCTTCGGCATCGTCTTGTCTGCCTTTGGTAGGTTTTCCAAACCTCGCCACTATTTTTGTAACTGTCATGCTAGCTTCCCATATCGCAGTGGATTGCCCTAATATGTCAGACCTAAATTCATAAGACTATACATCTACAGTGGTGTTTTTCTTTTTAATTTGGGTCTTTTTTGTTGTTGTTCCACGATGTCAGTTATATAAATATATGAGCAAATTCAATGTAATTCATAAACATCCAATTCTAGTGACTTACTATCTGAGACGACTACTGAGCAATATCTGGCGGCATTAGCTATCTGTGTAGTTCTGACTGGCTTCACTGGCTCCTGAGAAGCCCGTGCCGTTGAGCCGGGTCACCCAGGCGGGGCTGTGGCACCTCGCAACAGGTGTTGCCCCTGCTCGTGCCTCTTAGACGTTCCTCTCTCTCACATGATCATCAGTCCAGACTATGCGATCCAGTCCTCGGTTTTGTTTTGTTTTTAAGTATAAACTAAAAAGAAAATGCTTCTTATAGGAACAGTTACTGAAGGGCTATTTTATGTGAAATGTCACCGAGTCCATTTGAACCAGCGGGCGTACCGACGTCACGGTCGCCCGGTCGCCATCGGGGTCTTGTGTCTTCGCAGCGTCCTCCGCCTGCCCTTGGTGTTCATAGGAGACGTCTGGATTGAATGCAGTTCTCGGAAAAGCAGATGAGAAACAACAAAGCGTATCTTACAGTGTCCCTGTCCCCAGGTTGTCTATGTATTTTGTCTCTTGAGTACTTAAAATTTTGAAATATTTGAGTAAGTCAAGATATGCCTGTTTTTAAAAAAATCACCTGAGGTTCTGTCATGTATTTGTATGTAATGTATCAGGTCTTTTTCCCCCAAGCTGATAATGTTCTTTATAAAAACCATGTTGTGGAAAAAAGCCACAGGGACACAAAGGACAAAATCTGTGTAGGTCCTCTGTTTAGGAACCCTGATTTTTAACTACTAGAAGTCAGCTAAATTCCCGAGCTTCATGGTATATGGACATGTGAAATGATGCGGAATTAATTATGTACACACGTAGTATATTGAAAGTATATAATAGCTCATAGAGACTTTCAACAACGAAATCGCTATCAAACCAGAGCCACCCAGAACAGAGTTTGTGCTCTCTTCTTATTTCTCCCCTTGGGCCCCTTCCCTTAGCTTTGACCCAAGACACGCAGACCTTGGGCTGCCTTCTGTCCCTGCTGAAGCGTGTCATCACGATACCTCTTGTCCCCAACTCATGCCTCAGTCCCCATTGAAACGTATATGCCCTTCACGTTTTCTCTTTAAGTGCTGGCTGAAGTAAGAGTCTATTGGTCTGGACTCCCCTAAACTGTGACGATGGGAAAAGACCAGAAGGGACTGAGTGAGCGTTGTCATCAGTACTGATATACCGCAGCTGTGACCATCAGCATCCCGTGCCCTTGTATGTAATGATTCATTTGGCCAATGGTGACCTCACTAGGGTTCTTGAATCCTTTCCCTCTGTCCACGAATTATGTCCACTGTATATGTTGCACAGTATTACACATAGAACACATTTCACTCCTGTTACAGCTGATGTCAAGTCAAGCTTTCCTTGCGAGGAAGGCAGGTCCTGGCAGTCCTTACGACTGTCTCTCTTGTGAGCAGCCCTCTTAAATAAACACTTGCTTAATGTAAAAATGTCTGAGAGGACCTAGGTAGGCTTTTGGCATTGGATAGGCCCTTCACATTACATATCACATGGAGTAGCCTGTACACCGCTGAAGGCTTCCGTGCATTGAGCCTGGAGCAGCCTGGGTTCGCGGTTGTGGCCCTGACGCCTGGAGAGCGGAGCCGCGTTCCTGGGCCCGGCTGATGGCGGGGCTGCGTTCCTGCAGCTGAGGCCCAGGAGCAGCCGTTCCGGGGCAGGCGCAGGGCGGAAACGCCAGCCTCGTGTTCCCTGCCAGCATCCCTCTCACGGCTCGTTCATCTGAAGGGTAGCATGTAGGACATCGCATCCTAAACACAGTGGCCAAAGTCCCATCCCTAGCACTTCTTTGCAACGTGTGTTCTGGTGGGAAATTAGTCCTATAATTTCTTCATTGTCTTCACACTGTCCTTATGTAGAGAACATTACTGTCCTTCCTGTGTTTGAGTAGTTAGATGTAGTTTAATAAAGGAGACTAAGGACTGTTTTCTTTCAAGAGAAATTTGAAGTCAATTTTATGGTGTTTTGAAATTAAAAGTACTCCCTAACATGTCAATATGCGGAAAATGTTATCTCAGAATTTTCTGTTGCTCAGGCACACAGTCTGAGAAGACTTTTTGCTTGTTTCTTTAATGTTTGCTGTTTTCTCTTAAAGTCTGTGTATCTTTTATGAAATCTTCTTTATTTGGAAAGTGTAAAATTGGGCATCTCAAGAATGACGTGTGGGATCATTAGCTGATTACAAAGACTAGGCACATCTTGCATGTTCAGCGAGCAATTTTGTACTGAGTAAGTCCCATCCCAGACTATGCACATTCAACAGAGTTTTCCGGAAGGGTCGTATATGTCAGGTGATAATTTGTGTAGACCTGAGACTATTGGCTTCAAGATTCAATACTCCAGAAGTGGCTCCACAGGTTGAGTAAAAATTTGGGAAGGACTCCTGCAAAAGCATCACTAGGTATCGTATTTCTCCCTAATTGTAAGTGTTCATCGTTCCTTTGTGTTTGATGGGTATGCAGCTCGGGACATGTCTGTGCCCACCAGCATGTGTTTCAGCGAACCAGCAATGCATCGATGTGTGAGCTTAATTAGTTAATACACACACTTCGTTCTTTTCTCTGAAGCGTTTATTTTAAACTGGTATTTTCTGCTGAGACAAAGTTTCGTGGTACCATGGCCAGCGTTTATATCCAAAAGAACATTTTCCACACAAGCAAAGGATTTGTGGCCAGCCTTACTGGACATGCATCTTTCAGATATGACCTTAGGGTACCATTAGGAAGGACTTGGTTCAATCTGGGCCTGTCTCTCTCCTCCTGGAATATGTACCAGGGCTGTTACCGGTGACCGGGGGGATGAAGGGCAACGCTCCATTCATATGCCAGGCTTCACTGTGGATGGTAGAGTTTTAGGGGATGTGATTTGATTTAGAATATTTCCAAATCTATATAATTACTATATTAAGTTATGTCAGGATTCTATTATTTTTAACCGTAAGTGCTTATTTCTTCCTATATTAAGAATGTTAATATTTTGGATTATAAGTGTCCTGGTTATAAACAGTTTACCTATGCAAGACAAATTCTAACTGTGCAACACTTTTATGAAAATTGAAAGTAGTATTTTAAGAGGAAAATCCTCTAAATGTTTTTATGTGTAAGTGCCTAGCTGAAGAACCATGGAAACAAAAAATTCAGAACCTCTTAAACTATAACCAATTGAATGGTAACCAGATATAAACCAGTAGTGATTTACATTACTTTTTGATTGCAATAACTCGCCCTAAAATCTAAGATGTAAATGGGTAAAAAAATTAATATTAAAAAGGAAATTGATTTTATTACATTTACATATATCTCCTAATATTGCCTTTAAAGCAACCAATCAGAACTTGTAAAAATAAAATAATAACAATATAGACCTTATGCAGCACTTAAGCCAGAAATACTTTGTATACCTGATTAAATGGCTCACTTAAAAGTATTTAATTCCCTTATTAAACATTAAAAATGTACTTCCCTTTCGAATTATTCCATTTTAAATGAGTGACTTTCCATTTCTGAACTTAACTGTTTTCCCTAAGCGTTGCAGTGGTGTATAATGAAACATCTGAAGGTTTTTTGGTGGTAAATACAGTTACTGTCAAAACGTGGGCAGGTTTGCCGTTGGGTTTGACATCGGTGTGTGTGCACTCGATCATAGGAAACAATACCGGATGATCGTTTTCAAGCATTTTTTTCAAATATTCTGCCCCCAGTTTGATTCCAAATATTTCTCCCTATTATTTATGGTGTATCCTTCCACTTAATTTTCTTCTTCCAACATAACATTTAGCAAAAGTTAAGAACACAGCCTTAAAAAAAATTTTCAGTTCAGAACCACTTGAGACGCTTGGCCCAGACGGGAGGACGTCCGCAATTTGGGGCGGCAGCACCTGAAAAGGTGTGTCCAAAGGTCAGATCATTCTAAAACACTTTTTGTTTAGTAGGAATGTATTACTTTTTATTCTTTTTCATTAGCTAGCCATAAGTTCTTATAATGCTAAGAGATCACCATTTTTACTTTCAAAATTGCATTATAGTGAATTACTGTTTACAAAATACACATACTGTGAACAGATACAAGTTTTTGTTCTTTTTTATAAGGTTGTTTGTAGAATGATTGTTTTTTCAAAGGGGATGTTATATGTTAAATAGTTTCCTTTTTTTAATACATACTAGCAACTGTTTACTAATTTTTGTTCAGTCAGGCGTATGCAAATGTAGCTGAAAGATAGGGAGAAACTGCAGGTCTAAAACTGTTCCCTTTCCCATTTCTTGAAATGTTACCACTGCGGACCTCTCTTTTTGTTTTTTTGTTGCCTTTTTTTTTTTTTTTTTTTTTGACCCAAGTGATCAGCTGTGATGTTCTGTATCTAAAAATCATGCTTAATTATGTAAGGAAACATTTAAACACATACACAGGAAACCATAGGTTGTAGGATATTTGTGTGATTCAGTCTGATTTGCAAAATTCTGAGTTTAATAAATGGAATAAAACAACTTCATTTATACAGATGACAGGTATTTTCTGCCTTGTGAAAATTTGGAGAGTCTGTTGCATTAGAATGGAAAATTTGGTCATTTTATATCATTGTATAATTTCAGAATTTAGTTTCAATATCTTTTGGAAAACATAGCAAGAACATAGAATATAAATAACCTATTACTAAGAGACCTTAAATGTAAAACTAGTATGCTTGGCTGTTAATTCTCAAAGATGTTACTTATGTCTGTTTTTAAAACATGCATGTATTTAACAATTTTATCATAGTATTGTCATGGAAAAAATAAATATATTTTCTTACAACGTACATGGATCAATAAGGCATTGTTTGTTGTTTGCTTTCTTCCTTCATGTCTTAGCACTTAGGAAAAGTGGCTTCCGCTTCGTTGTTAATATCTTGGTTCCATCCCAGGAGAATCCCAGTGGCCAGGAAGCCGTCGCATAGGCTGCAACTAAATTTTCAATGCTCTAGATGCTGCTATGCCATTGGCATAGCCTTTCATATATTCCATTAACATCCCTATTCTAATTACCAGAGAAGTTAGCATAAAAATAATCAAATAGAGGGACTGTAACATTATAAAATAAATACTGGTCCTTATACTATGGCTTTTCACTTCCTTTGAAGATAACATTTCTGGAGGTTCTAGGGATATATCAAAAATTAATCGCAAGATGTCGAATCTGAAAATAGAGTCATTCAGCAAAACCTCAGAAATTTGAAAGCATGAATTGACCTTAAATAGAAATTATTTAAGATAAGGGGAGAAATCAAGTATCCCTATGTGGCTTACGTGGAGTAACAGCTGAACTGCCAGTGGACCTGGGTTTAACCTGAAGACCCTGCAGACCAATTTTAAGTTAACTGTGACACAC